ATGGTATATGGAATATCTTGGTAATATATGGTATAATAATGGTATATGGAATATCTTGGTAATATATGGTATAATCTAATGGTATATGTAATATCTAATGGTAATATATGGTATAATCTAATGGTATATGGAATATCTTGGTAATATATGGTATAATACTAGATGGTATATGTAATATCTTGGCAATATATGGTATAATCGAATGGTATATGGAATATCTTGGTAATATATGGTATAATCGAATGGTATATGTAATATCTTGGTAATATATGGTATAATCTAATGGTATATATATCTTGGTATGGTATAATCGAATGGTATATGTAATATCTTGGCAATATATGGTATAATCGAATGGTATATGTAATATCTTGGCAATATATGGTATAATCTAATGGTATATGTAATATCTTGGTAATATATGGTATAATCGAATGGTATATGTAATATCTTGGTAATATATGGTATAATCGAATGGTATATGTAATATCTAATGGTAATATATGGTATAATCTAATGTACAATGTTAGATTTCACATTCCCGCTCCAGCTCAAAGGTACGTGTCTCCCTCAAAAAAAATGCTTTTCCCTAGATCTAGTATATTACATGGTTGGGATTGCATAGGTGTATATATATATATGATGAAGCTCAAAGCTACCTTGCTGGCTCACTGCCTCCTTGCTAGCTCAAAGCTCAAAGCTACCTTGCTGGCTCAGTGCCACGTAGCTGGCTCAGTGCCACGTAGCTGGCTCAATGCCACGTAGCTGGCTCAGCGCCTCGTAGCTGGCTCAGCGCCACGTAGCTGGCTCAATTTTTTTAGCGAAAAAAAAAAAAAAAACCTCGCAGAAATTGAGCCGGCTACATGCCCTTGAGCCGGCTCGCCAATGCGTCATGAACCCGGCCAATACATAGCTAGTATTCGTTTTGATGCTCTCACATTCGTCCGCCAGCTCAACGTGACGTAGCTGGCTCAATTTCTGCGAGTTTTTTTTTTCTTTTTTTTTTTTTTCGCTAAAAAAATTGAGCCAGCTCGATGCCATTGAGCTAGCTCGATGCCCCTGAGCCAGCTACGTGGCATTGAGCGAGCTCGATGGTGCTGAGCCAGCTCGTTGCAGTTGAGCGAGCTCGCAGAAACTTCCCAATCTGTTAAATTGCATTAAATTGCCAGTTTCAATCCCCACTGATTACTTTAGTACTAGATATGGTACCTCTGAAAAAGCCCAAGGTGACTGTCAAAACATACCCCTGATGAAATTGAGCCAGCTACATGTTTTGAGCTAGATCGAAAAAATGGAAGATTGGGAATTCAAACATTCAATAATGGTATATGGAATATCTTGGTAATATATGGTATAATCTAATGGTATATGGAATATCTTGGTAATATATGGTATAATCTAATGGTATATGTGATATCTTGGTAATATATGGTATAATCGAATGGTATATGTAATATCTTGGTAATATATGGTATAATCGAATGGTATATGTAATATCTTGGCAATATATGGTATAATCGAATGGTATATGTAATATCTAATGGTAATATATGGTATAATCTAATGGTATATGGAATATCTTGGTAATATATGGTATAATCTAATGGTATATGGAATATCTTGGTAATATATGGTATAATCTAATGGTATATGTAATATCTTGGTAATATATGGTATAATCGAATGGTATATGTAATATCTTGGTAATATATGGTATAATCGAATGGTATATGTAATATCTTGGCAATATATGGTATAATCGAATGGTATATGTAATATCTAATGGTAATATATGGTATAATCTAATGGTATATGGAATATCTTGGTAATATATGGTATAATCTAATGGTATATGTAATATCTTGGTAATATATGGTATAATCGAATGGTATATGTAATATCTTGGTAATATATGGTATAATCGAATGGTATATGTAATATCTTGGCAATATATGGTATAATCGAATGGTATATGTAATATCTAATGGTAATATATGGTATAATCGAATGGTATATGTAATATCTTGGCAATATATGGTATAATCGAATGGTATATGTAATATCTTGGTAATATATGGTATAATCGAATGGTATATGTAATATCTAATGGTAATATATGGTGTAATCGAATGGTATATGTAATATCTAATGGTAATATATAGTATATGATATCTAATGGGTATCTAATGGCATTTTTGGGTATCTACCCTCTGGTAAACGTTTATAGTTGGCGAACTGGAAAATCACCATGTTTAAGTTCGGTAAATCCTAAGGCCATTTTCAATAGCTATGTAACAAATTACCAGAGGGTACTTTGCAGGAGGATTCTCAGGGGGTCTCAAAAGATCCAGAGAGGAGGGAAACTGATTGCTTTTGGTGTTTTTATAAAGACTTTTAAAGCGGATAACTGGATAACGTATAAGTTGAGATGTTAATGGTTTTTTTGGGCATATGAAGTGAAGATTATTCGAACTTGTGACATGTGATTCAGAAAAAAACGTTAGATATACCCAATAATAAACCCCCAAGTATTCATGGCTGACACCAACCCATTGCTAATAAATTTGGTGACTTATTCTTGGATTTACTACGTTGTGTAATTTGTGAGCATGTTAGAAAATGTGAAATAAACCAGCTAGATCAATGGAATACATCCCCAATTGTGGGTTATATGTGTGTTGTAAACTGCTAAACCACTAAAAGTCGAGATTAACATGGTAAAAACAGGTGTTTTTGACCTCACAAATTCAGGAGTTGGGGATGTGTCAAAACTCTTCAGGCCACTAAATTGGATGGTTTAACCTGACACCTTTGCCACTTTTAAAAAGGGTGCCTTCATTCACCTGGCTGAACATGTTGCTCATTCACCTACCTGAAAGGTTCAGACATTCTTGGATGGCTACCCATATGTTAACTATCATTCATTGCTGTTAAATTTCGGCCAATACGCCTATATATATATGTGTGTGTGCGTGTGTGTTTTGATTGTGTATTCCATTATATATCTCCAAAAATCCACTTTTGAAACCATTGTTTTTCATCCCTTACCAGGCGAGTAAAACATGTAACTTGCCCTTTCAACCACTTCTAGGATTGAACCAGATATATAGCTGGTTCTCTCGCTTTGTGTCTCCCACTATACCCCCATTGAATCCCCAGGATATGTCAAGATGCACCCACAAAATCGGACAACCCTTCACCAAGTCGCGTGCATCAACTTGGCTAAGTCCCAAATCGCCACTAGCACCTCCTACATGTAGGAAAGTTGTGAAGGCTATGTATATATATATATATACATATGTGTGTGTATATACATATGTATACATATATATATATATGTGTATATATATACCTATGTATGTATGTATATGTTTACTGTTCATATTGTATGTATGTTAAAATATATATAATATATACTATTCATATTATATGTATGTGATAATATGTATTTTTCCAAGCGCCAATGAAGGGGCGCGGCTTGCCATTGGCTCCGAGTTTTTCAAATTAAAAAAGAATTCCGGGTTTGTGCATGTCGAAAGAAACTGTCAGGTAGCAGCGTTTTCTTTGTATTTACTCAGTAAGCCCGTAGGCTGATGGCCGAGTATGGCCGGTGACTCTTGGTGATTAAAAGGACCTCTTCGGAGAATGGCAGCCTCCGCCAAGTAATCTATGTCAGCTTGGTTGGGGTGCGGCGGCGCCACTCTACCGAGGGCATGTAAAGCATCTTTTGCTGTTTCATTTAGCCAATCCAGTTTGGTCTGCCTACTCTTTGGGTTGGAAGAATTCTGGGTGCGAATGTCCTGTATCCAAATAGCCCTTGTCTAAGCGGATCTGCATGATCCCTTCTAAGTATGTGCCCAAACAGCTTGAGTTTTTGTTTTTTCCATACAACAGAGATTTCTGTCCTGTCTACGTTGTAGCTGTTGGCACGGTCCCTTACAAATTGATTCGTTTGCATTCTATCAATGAATGGAACAAATCCAGTTTGTTCAACTCATTCTGGGCCAGTTGTATAGTTTCAAGTCCGTACATGAGTTTGGATATGACGACTGAATTAAAGACACGTAGAAATCCATGCAATACTGGTGTGTGCTTTGTCCCAAAAAAGTTTCAGTTGGGCACATGTCTTGATGGCCTTTGCCAAACGATTTTGAATTTCTGCCATATTACTAGCAGCGTCTGTTCATATCGTGCCTAAATATTTTGCATGTTGCTGCCGTGGTACTAAGGAACCGTCTCTGAACTTGATTGATGACGTTTTCCTATTGGTAGTCAGGTTCACACATTTCTCGTAGTTCAGGTTCATATTATAGTAGGAAGATTCAATTTCAATTTCATATATATATATGTTGTTCTCATGTAATGTATATATATATGAGAATAATTACACACCGTATACATTCATATATGTGTAGAAAAAAGAAACAATGAAAACTGGAATCGGAATATTAACCACCAACTCTGGCCGCATCTTGAGTAGGACCAGTGGGCATGTAACCAACATGGGGACATGAACCCCGCCAAAAACTGCCAAGACTGCCAAATGAAGAAACAAAACCTCGGCTTCGCAGACTTCACCAAAATGGGGATGAAAAATCATGCGGAAATTTGGGATGTTCGAAAACAAAAACGGTAGACATTATACACAAAGGGCCCCGTGCGTAACAAGTTGCTTCATATTTATATCCTCATCGAACGATATTCAATGCAGCATCCACTCATTAATCCCAAGTGTTGTTGGTTGATTCCCACTTTGGGCTATACTACATTTCGGTTTGTCTGAAAACAGGATTCCAAATTTGATGGCTCATCATGCTCCCTGGTAACTGTCTTTTCGACAAAAACCTCATTTTCAGACGCACACATATCAATGATTCATTGGGTACATCCGTTTCATGGTTAAACCACTACTTCCCACCATTTCTCATTGGAAAAATGGTTAAACATGGTTAAATCATGCTACCCTCCGGCAAACTTACAAAAAACCATGGAAAATCACCATTTTCAATGGGTAAATCCACTATTTCTATGGTCATTTTCAATAGCTTTTTGTATGACATAACCAGAGGGTAAACCCCTGGCGTTTCGACAAAGCTTCTACCAGACACGGTGTTTCGACAAAGCTTCAGACACCGTCCTGGTACCACGCCCCCAGGCTGACGCAACGAAAGCTCGGCGTCACGGCGGGTGCATGCTGAGCAGAGCTCAGAGCGTCGGAGGAGAGGAGTAGCCAGGCCATGCTGGTCCTGCTGCTGGGGATCTTTGTCCAAATGCTGTCGCTACTGAATTCTGCTTTTAAAAAAATGCGGCCAAAAATGAGGGAGCTAACCAAGAGTTAACCAACCAGAAAGGAACAAATCATGGAAAAAATGGCTGAAGCAATGGATTCATTGGAACATGGATTCATTTCTGGGAAGGAAAAAACCATCAGTTGTTGCTATGGTTTTGCATCCGACCTCCCAGGCATGTAGCGGTTCAACCTTTTTTCAAGCTATTAAACCCATGAAATAACAATACCCCATAGCTATTGAACATGGCCATAGAAATAGTTAATTTACCCATTAAAATTGAAAATGGTGATTTCCAGTTCGCGAACTAGAAACGGTTGACAAGAGAGTTTTTACAAAATGATGCCCTTCCAGGGTTTTTTGTTGGTTCTTACCCACAGTCTTACCCATGATCCCATAGAAAAAAAAAACATGTTTGTTGAAAATCCTGAGAACAAAAACCATCAAAAACCATCAAAAATCTCCGAATTATCATCTTGAATCATAGACATCGATGATATCCCAAGCCCGGGCCCACCAGATCCTAAAACACTCCAGCCCCTCGGGATCATTTCGTTAGTGAGCCACTACTCTCCAGCCATTTTTCACCCATTTTTGCCGCTGATCAAAGACGTTTCCATCTGGAAAGCTCCACAACTTAAATCACCAAGATCACCAGCTAAGACTGTTATAACGTCCACACGTTCAATAGCAAAATCCCCTTTTTATCCTGCTTTTGATCCTACAGAATCATCATTGGACGGGTGAAATCCACTCAGGTCCACTTCTCATCCTGTTGTCCCCACTTAAATCGACTGTTTCACTCCACTCCAATCAACATCCACTGAATCTCCCACAACTCTTCTCCCAAATGGCAGTGTGTCAAAACCCTGGTACCCCTTCTGTTCACATCAAAATCGCTGGGATTTATGGATGTGAATAACCCACTCAAAATGTATCTATAGGTATTGACCCATCCCCAGAGCATTCCCAACCCCGTCAGATCATCATCCCTACCCATCCCTACCGCGGTCATGGCATCCAGCTCCACCCTTGTGACCTTCAACTTCGTCGCCCAGCGCCTGGTAAAGCGCAGCGCCAACAAGTGCAGCTCCCGCACACTCAGCGCGCGTTCCTCGTCCCTGCCACGGAAACGGGGAACAAAACAGCGCGAAACGGGGGGAAAAGATATGGAAGATGGAAGTCAAAGTCGTAAAACTAGAGAAAACCGTGTTTTTTTTTGGATAAAAACTTGGATTTTGACCCATAAAATGGACTTTGAAAAATTGAATTGTGACTAAAAATTGAGAAAACCACTGAATTTGAACTGATAGATGAAAACTGGCAATTACATAACCCATACAACGGAGAAAAAGCTTGGATTTACCTGGTGGAATTTGGCGTTTCAATGGGATTTAAGCGGATATGATATGAGATTTGACTAATGATTTGAGGTGTGGGAATTGGAATTTTCAATAGATTTATGAACAGATTGAACCATTTGGCTACCTTTGGAGGATCATATAGATACTTCTAGCCAGAAGCAAGCATTAGAATTTCAGAAGTGGGATTCAATCAGGGAACAATGTAAATCCTATTTTTCGTGGGATTCGATTTGCGGATATGTTGGGCAGAGGTGTAAGAGACCCCTGCTAACGGTATATCCTAGATCGACCTAGGCTGGGATGATATGGGGAAACCTGAAGATGTAGAAGCAGAACCTCTCGTTGCTGAAAAAACAAAGATCGAACAAAGATCCCAAAAAAAATTACAAATCATCCATTTTAATATGAGAAGCTCGAATTAGATTGAAAGAGGAACCAAACACATGGATTCACAAGATCAGTTTTCGTTCTTCCTTGCGTGAAAGATTGAGGATGGATGATACCCTGCAGTGAACCAGACGAAAATCGAGATTCATCAGATTTCACACTTTGTACATCGTTCTCCTGGGCAAACCATGAAAAATCACATGGATTCCATGCCTATCTTCGTCTTGCGGAGGCTAGAAATCCGAGAGTCACCTAAAACCCCCATTTCGCCTGTTCTAGAAACTTTTCCCCACTCAATCATGCTCAATCTCTAGTAAAATGTTCCCTTCTCAATTCTCAAAAATTGTCATTCCAACTTTCCCCGCGTTCAACTCACTGGTTGACTTACCCAACTATCTCCTTGTTCTGATCATATGTTCTTTACTTTTTGCGTTCAAGAAGTTGGTATCCTCAAAAAGATGGGTGATTTATGTAGTTTCCCTGAAAAAAAACATACCGGTAGCTCAATCCCCAAATTTCCTGGTGAACCCCCATCCCAACCCCAAGGCACCAGCCGCGGCTGGCGGCCATGGGCCCTTCGACCAGCTCCAAGATCCACGACTTGCGAATGCGCGGAACCCACTTCCGGGTGGTCAGCAGATCAACTGAGCGTCCAGTGGATCAGGCACTGCGAGGGGTATGTGCTGACCAATTCTATGACATGGTGATATTAGACGGGGATATTATATATATATATTACATATGTATTATATACACCAATTCAGAGGTTTTTTTGCATATAGGCATTCCTTGAGAAAATATGTGCTGACCGTTTTACAAGGATAGAAAGATCATTGCAATGAATACGAACATGTTACGTAAGTAGTTATGAACATATTTGGGGTGTAAAACGACCTCGTGTACAAAGAAGCCGCGGTTACATAGTCTAAATGCAGTTTTGATGATTTACCCAATTAATCTTACTTGTGCTTAGCAGGGAATTTTCGGGAATGATCCACTGGCTAATTATCAATAATCATCCCAGCAACCCCCATTCCCATCCATTCCCTACTAAGCACCAGTAAGATTAATTCACATATCTACAATGTTCGTTCAGTGGATCTTTCTGTAGAGATCTCGTGAGTTCCTCTTTGTTGTGGCTCCTTACCAGATCCAGTGGGTCCTTGTAGAGAGACCCAGCGGGTTCCTTTCAGTGCCCCTTAAAAGGTTGCTGTGGGGATGCTGTGAGTTCCTCTTAAAAAAATCTTCTACAGGGAACTGCTGAGCAAAGAGACCTTGTGAGTTAATTGAATATCTTTCTATGGAGAACCTGTGACTTGAAATTGTCCTTCTACCAAGCTCTTGCACGTCGCCCTGAAGGGTCCTCCGTTTCAAAGGTATTTGAAAAGAGATACAGATCCTCGTTACTTCCAAGTAGGTACTTCCCCCGCGCACAAAAAGTGGGATTCCTTGCCTTAAACCAAGGTGTCTCAATACTGGGAAGGTATTGGCATAGCTGGCATAGCTGATTTCAACCTAAAAGACCTAAAAGTCAAGGATGATCATCCATAGTTAGTTGCTGCGGGGGAAGCAAAAAAAAAAATATGAAACCACCAACCAAATACCCTTTGGTTATTTAACACATCCTTTGAAAATCATCACTTTTAATAGGTACATCATCTATAAGTAGGTCATTTTCCATAGCTATGTTAAATAACCAGAAGATAAAAAATATACGGAGGGGTGTGAATGGGTTGGTAGAACTGGCTGACAGATTTGTGGACAATACACAGGTACCAACGGGCATGTAGATAGCCCTATAACTGGGGGTACCTACCCTATGAATGAATAAGGTTGATGCAGGATGGAACCCCCAGTTGTAAGTTCCATCTCATCTAAGTATGATGTATACCCTCTGGTAATTTGTTACATAGCTATAGAAAATACCACATTTCTAGTTGATTTACCTATTCAACATGGTGATTTTCTATAGCTATGTTAGTTTACCAAAGAGTACACCATAAATCCTGACTAGCCCAGTTATAAACCAGCTGGCTTATCATCAGCCCAGTGAATCAATCTGAGCAGCGGATCACTAACTGGAGCCATTTTGAAAGCTTGATAAACATGCCCAAATTTCAGCCCCAAAAGTCTACCCCCAAATCATCCAGTTAGGAGCGTTTTAGATCATTTCAGGATAGTGAAACAACCATGGATTTAGGCTACCCCATTGTGGAGTGGGGAACTACCCATAGGTTGAGCCCAAGTCACCTTCCTGCTCAATCAATTTCTCCGTGTCGCGAAAGAGATCTGTTTCCTCAGGTGCAAAATGTGCAAAGTTGGCCCCTAAAATCGGGGGGCGGAAGCGGTGATTTCAGGGATGACTAGCGTCACTTGATTGTCACTTGCTGTAACAATTTTCCGAAACCTGCAGGTACCCGGATTGACCAGTTCATAAGCCTGGTTTGTAAGTTCCCAATTCTCGGGCTGCTCCCTTTTTTTGACTCGGCTAACCATGGTTGGTAAGCAGTTATAATCCTTTGTTTTGCTGGGGAGATCACCACGTCTGTTCCTTGGAAGCCTTGGACCCTTGATTGACCTTTGAGGTCAACGATTCACATTGTTCTTTGGTTGATACAGTTGATACCACCAGTTAGGGTGGCAAACTGCCAAACCCATAACTATCATTTACCTATAGTAAGTTGGAGCAACCCTGTTGGATATGGCTCTGAGTTCCCTAGGATTTTCTGGTTCCAAATGAGAAACACCACATCTCTCCTGGCAAGTCACCACCTTGAAAACTCTGCACTTGTTCATAATCAATCCATGCATGTATATCTAACAAAATGTTTGCATATATGCCTATATATATATACATAGTATATACATTTATATATATATAGACATCACTGGGGTATCCCATTTCGAAAAAAAACCCGTTGGTGCATCGTTTCAACCCAAAACCATTCGCCAGGCTTCGGAGACCGCTCCAAGGAGGCGAAGCTTCACCCGGTGGACCTTGCCCTGCGGAGGCATCCTCCGAGCCAGGACGGAGAAGGCGCCTTCCTTCAGTTTCAACAGCAGCGCGCTGGCGGAGGCCAGACCTCGGACGTCAGAAAAGTCGAAAAACCACCGGTTTTGGGTTGGGAGTTCACCTGGTGAAATGGGACTTAGCCAAGAAAACTTAAGGGAGTCAGATGTGATTTCAGACCCACTGTTATCAACTGTTTAGATTAAAATGGGTGCATAACTTCATAAGCCACAAAAACAAATGGTGTTTGTAACTTGGTAAAAATAACTAGGAAAACGAAACTTGTATAAACATGGCGGAGATGAATCTACATTTGGTGAGTCAAACTACAGAATTTTTTTGGGTCCCCATACTGTGCAAAGAGTTGGTTTGGTTTGGTTTATGTCAATGGGAAGTCACAGGTTTTAGATGATTGACCTATTGGAGACGTTTGAAAATGCCGGTTTTTCCCAGTACCTATGTTGGATTACAGGGTTTTCGGACAGCCTCTTTCTGCGCGACAAAGCCCATGAAAGAGCCCAGTTATGGTTGTTGTTTTGGGCAATGGCCAGCCGATTTCCCGCAGATGGCATGGATGGTTCACTGTCCGGTTCATGAGTTGGCGCCAAAAAAAATGTATCGCGCGAAGAAAAAACATGTTCCGGCCGGGAAAAGAGCAATATTTATACCACCTATAAAAATGGTGATTTGGAGGATTGTTTATGAATGATGGTTGCCATATTAATAATTTATGGTTTATTATATACCACCATTAATTATTGTTTACCAAGCATTTGTTTTACCCATAGTGATGGTTGCTGATTTTACAATCAATTCATGACAAAAATGTCATCACCGCAACGTAGATCCACATGCCTCGTCAAAGTAACCCGAGAACAAATCCCAAACAGACTGCGCCGGTTCACTTCATGTATTTGTTTATATTTTATTTATATATATATATATGAATGTGTGTATATATCCATTTGTATATGTTTAAATGTTTTTTATGTCTATATATATATACGTATATATATATATACATATATATATACGTATATATATATATATACATATATATACATATATATATATGTTTATTTATGTTCTGTGTATATGTTTATATCTACATACATGGACATGTGACGTGGGCCATCAAAGTTCAATTTTCCTGGATGTGCCCTTATGAAAAGGCCAATCGTCGAGAAGCTCCACATTTAAGCTACTCCTAAGCGGGTTCTCATCCATGCTTCCTCCAGAAAAAAAGCATGGCTAGGTAAAGTCCCAATAATTGGTGCTTAGACATCACCAAGTCACAAGTCCAGTATTGCCAGGTTTTCGACCAAAATCCCCATCAAATCAGTGAAGAAAAAAACCATCAAAATCACCATGAAATCTCCACATCCCCATCATGAAAATCACCATGAAATCACCATGAAATCAGCTGAAGCAAGGCGCCTGGATCTTCCAGCACCCGCGAAGCGTAGTAAAGGCCATGGGCCGCTAGGGGCCAGCACCACTTGGGGATCTTTCCAGACTGAACTTCTGAGTACACCTGGCTGGAAAATAGGAACCCCCTGGGCTTTACAGAGACTTCATAGACTTCATAGACTTCATAGACTTTATATAATAGTTCATATAATAGTTCATATAATATAGAGTTCATATAGTTCATAGAGTTCATAGAGTTCATGGAGTTCATATGGTTACGAGTTTATAGTCCATATGGAGGTTTCCTAAAATGGGGGTACCCCCAGTCATCATCCGTTTTTATGGGAATTTCCATGATCAACCAACCATTTTGGGGATCCTCCATTTATGGAAAAAACCCGATATAGTTTCTAGTTCATAGTTCATATAGTTGCCTATAGTTACTAGTTCAACCTATAGTTACTATAACTATTCATATAGTTTCTAGTTCATATTCATAATGATTATAGTACCTGGAATAGTGAATAGTTATTTCTGCCTGGCTATACCTGGATTCCCGGGGAATTCGATGCGATGAATATATGCGGACCTACAGTCTTCGTTCTGGCGGTAAACATTAGTAGTTTGGGGATAAGATAAGACTTATTGGAGAAGATACTACGAAAATGGAATATGTAACTATTCTTCTGGAGAACGAAATGAAGGCTATCTGTAGTTCTGGAAAGATAGAAATGGGGTTCATGTTATAATTCCAATATAATATTATGTAATATCATATTATATTATATTATATTATATGATTTTTAATTGTATTATATTATATTATATTACATTATATTATATTATAATATTATATTATATTAAAATATTATATTATATATATTACATTATATTATATTATAATATTATATTATATTATAATATTATATTATATTATATTATAATATTATATTATATTGTATTATATTATATTATATTATAATATTATATTATATTATAATATTATATTATAATATTATATTAAATTATATTATAATATTATATTATAATATAATATAATATTATATTATATTATATTGTATTATATTATATTATATTATATATATTATATTATATATATATTATATATATATTATATAATATTATATTATAATATTATATAATATTATATTATAATATTATATTATATTGTATTATATTATATTATAATATTATATTATATTGTATTATATTATATTATATTGTATTATATTATATTATATTATATTCATAATAATTATAGTACCTGGAATAGTGAATAGTTATTTCTGCCTGGCTATACCAGTAAATTCCCGGGGAATTCGATGCCACAAGATGCGGACCTACAGTCTTCGTTTGGGGATAAGATAAGAGTTATTGGAGAAGATACTACTCATGGAATATGTAACTATTCTTACTATTCTTCTGGAGAACGAAATCATGGCTATCTGTAGTTCTGGAAAGATAGAAATGGGGTTCATGGTAGATTCCAATATAATATTATGTAATATCATATCATATCATATTATATTATATTATATTATATTATATCATATTATATCATATTATATCATATCATATTATATTATATTATATGATATCATATTATATTATATTACATTATATTATATTATATATAGTATTATATATATATATGTATATTATATATTATATATAGATGATATCCCCCCAAATAACACCTGAGGTGCGATGCCATTCGCGGATCGCTTGGATCGAACTGGAAATAGGTCACTTGCCTACAAGCTGGTGCCCCCCTAAGATAGCTAAATTAGTTTATAAACCCCATGAACTATAGATGTATCACCAACAAAAACCCATAGTTGTTGGAGTTCTCAAGCAATTTAGCTATCTTGGGGCCACCACCTGATAACTGGCATATTTCAGATGATCAAAAATGACACCTATCTCCGACGAAATCCGAATTCCATGGCAATCCAAAAAAACCCAGCTGCCGTGGTGATGGTGATGTCTTTGATCTCCATTTTCGACTCCACCCTCGGCGCATAGAAACCTGAGCTCAAAAATGGGAAACACATGGAAACACCACGTAGATCGGAGCCATGTTTTTGCTGTTTCTGGTGTTATTTCAAGAGGTCACACCATCCAAAATCGTGTTTCATTGGTTTTAAAGTATAATTCAGAAAGCAAGATCTATGTTTCCAACATTTTCCAAGGGTGTTTTCTTCTTGGTCAACGAAACAAAGGTCCCATGGTTGGGGTGAAATGACACCCGGACCCTGGTGTTTCGTGGCTAGAGAATCCCCTATCAATGGAGGATTCATAGGGAAAATCAACCATCAATACCCTCTGGTTCTGTCAAAATAGCTATTGAAAATGGCCATTTATAGTGAGTTTTCCCATGAAAAATGGGTGGATCTTTCCATAGTTATGTTGGTTTACCGGAGGGTAAATAAATGGAGGACTTTCCAAGCCACATTTTTGCTGTGACACCGGAGGGTGTTTTTTTAAATTGCGGATGCTTCCCCCCCTTCCTGAGAATCATTTACGGTGAGCCAAGTCGTGAAACTCCGCCCGGGATGTCCCGTTCTTGGATTATTCGAATCCCCCACATCAAAAGGGTAGTAATCATCAATCCAACTAATAGTATCAACCCTGCGGTAGATCGCACTGCTCAATTGGATTTGACCTTGGAGAAACCCCAGAAACCCGGAGGTCTAGCTGTGAATCAAAGGATCAGCCCTTGTTCTTGAGAATAGGAGCGTAGAGGTACCCTCTGGTAAACGTTAACAAAAAGCTATGGAAAGATCCACCCATTTTTCATAGGGAAATCATGGGAAATCAACGATTTCGACTGGGCCATGTTCCAGTTCGCTATGTGAAATTACCAGAGGGTAAATCCGGCCATAGCCATGACGTCTTGTTGAGGCTATTAAGAATCCTGGAGGGAGATAGCAATAAAGCATTGGCTGCCCCTACAACAACATTCGGTTTGGCGTTGAATCCCTGTGGACAGGTCACTCGAAATCCCATGTTGCTAACTTCCACTTGGCGTTGAAAAGAACATATGCTTGATGGCCAACAATAGGGGAATTGATATAATGTGGGTAAAACAATAGTAAACGGCTGAGTCCCAATTCCAGTTGGTCAAATTTGGGCCATTCCAATCCATTCCACGTGTCTGGTTGAGTCGACTCTCCACTTCTTCCTTCAAAAGCAAGATCTTCTTGGTGCTAAGAAGCGCCCATTATATCCCCACGATATATCCCCATTATGTCCCACTATACCATGATGTTTGTTGGTTAAATCCACATTTTAATTCCCCGTCTCCCAAGCTCCTCGCAAAGAAACGTTGCACATCTGTCAGTACCTGCCATTCGAGGGGGCGGATGAAACCGTAGAGCTACTGCGGCTTGCTACTCATGATTGTGAGTTGGGTTCACGGACTGGGAGGGCCCTAAGACAAGAAGAAAAATGGCCAGTTCATGTGAATTTTCAGGGAAGCAAATGATGAAACGGCCACTGATTTCCAATTCATCCCTTCCCGCAATTTATGAAATCACTCCCCCAACAACAAAACCATGGTTTCGTAGTGGATGACTCTTCATTTTGGGGGAGCGTCGAAACCTGGCTGTGACTTGGTTCTACAGAAGAATCTCCATGAAACTACTCAGTAGAACTCCCTATTAGTCAACAGGGAGTCAACAGGTCGCTGCTCAATGGAAAACCATGTGATGCTTAATTTTAAAACGAGGCCGAAGCCATTTCCCCTTGCCGCCGCTTCAGCCATCGGGAAAACCATGGGATTTCCCAGGAGATTTGGAGATACCACAAGACATCTCCACTTGGACGTCGTCACCTTAATGGCATAGTTGTAATCCTCGCTGCTCAGCAGCGCTGGTGCCAGGAGTTCCAAGGCTTTCTCCTAGCTTCACTTGAAGATTGGGATTTTTGAGATGATTTCAAGCTTGAAAGATGGGGAGCATTATCCTCCTTGCCCTTTATATTTGTGATTTGGGGAGATGAATCATCAACTCGGGACCAAATGCACAATTCAACTGGGACCATCAACTTCGCTGGTTTTGAAACCATCCGGGTCGAAAATGTACATCATCCTCGTTGTAGCAGATTGGACCCTGTCTCTATGACATCATAAATCTTGCGCCGCTGATTTCCATAAAGCCCCAATTTCACAGCTTTAACTCCCACGGTTTTGGTTCAATCAAAATTCTGAATTTTGAAGACCAAATTCACCCATGTCTTCCAGCTGAAAATTGCCATCTAGGGTAGGTATGGCTCGTACCCATTTACAATGGATCTATACAACAACCAAAAATGCCATGGATATGAATTTCGGGTAATGTGATCGACTCATTTTGACCATCCCCAAAAATGGTCGGGTTGCCGCGCCAAAGGGCGTCCTCGGGGCTACAGCCTTCGTCCAGGCCCTTCTGCAGCAGCTGTGCCAGTTGGACAAATTGGTCCGTCAGCTGTTCACCATCAGGGCCTGGAAATTGGTCCAAGTGGAACCAAGAAAATCCAAAAAGACTCGAACCCAGAATCTTGGAACGTTTCGGAGACTTTGGTGTCAACACTAGGGGGAGCAGCAACACCTGTGAATGAATGTGTCCCACTGTCATCAATAGTCATAGCCACCAAAAAGAAAACGACAGTGAAACATCCAGAATCCAGAGATGATTTTCTCCAATGATCCTTCGAAATCAACCCAAACTAAATCCAGGCCACAACTTCCTTCATTTGAGATCACTGACATCACCCTGAAATGATCGACTTCACAACTCGAATTTAACATCCAGTCTCAGCTCAGACTCCTTAGATTAGGATGTTCTGTTGATTGTTCTTCTCGTTTTTCTTGATGCTTTTAGATCCGCAGCTTTCAAAGAATAAGAATTTCCAGGCACACAACAAATGGACGAAACTTCACCCTTTTTTTCCTGGATTTTTCCGGGCCCATCCGCATCCCCAAACCCAAAAATTCCAATGTTGGCCGTCTGCAGATGGGGGCTGAAGGCCGTACCAACCCAGATATTTAAGACCTTCAAAACTCGCCAGAGGACCAAAATCAAGGAGTTAAGTTGTTTTTTACTTATTTCTTATAACCATATACCAGAAAACCAGATATTTCGATATTTCTATATTTCTATATTATTTATAATCAATTATTCATAACCATATATACCATATGATTTCCCCCAGATGTTCACCCGGATTTCCCCCAAAAAACCCGGCCGGTCCTGGTAGGTGCCCCTTGCGACACTTTTCCATCAAGACTCTGGAAAGGTCGTTGCCGCAGAGTGCTGCGGCCATTGGCAGCACCTCCTCGCGAACCTTGGGGTGTTGGAAAAAGCCATAGGCATGTGATGTCTATAGATATAAGAAAAAATATCAGTACATTCATTTGTCTATATCTATTTATATCTATTTATCTAGTTATACCTATTTATACATTTGTATCTTTTTATCTAGTTATCTAGTTACCTATCTGTCTGTATGTCTATCTATTCATCTATTCATCTATGTATTTATTTCATTATTTGATTTATGTGCTTATTTATTTGTTGCTTTGTCTATTTATTCACTTTTGTATTTAGTTATTTACTTATCTATATATATATATATCTATTTAGTTATCTATTTATTCATTATGGCCATACATATGTATGTCTCTCTATACAATATATGCATCACACACGCATACAGGTACAAATTGTATAATTGGCAACTCTAAACTCAGCTTTGCTTATGATTCTTGTGAAAAGAAAGGCAAACCCCATCGTCGGCAAACCCCACTGGGTGTCTGGAACAACTGCTCACCCAGCCCCTGGTGCCCTTCTGTTCACACCCAAATAGCTGGCAGCTATGGCATTCATTCCTCCAGTTATGCCGTGTAATTTTGACTCTTGGCTTTCCCCATTTATGGTTTTGTAATCAAATCCCCAATTTCTGATCATCAAATCATATCAAATCACCATTTTTTTTCCGGTCTCACCTGGGGCACTCACCATTCGTCGGAACTCCCCGCCTTGAGCACCTCTGCCAGCCTCTGGCGGCTCCAGATGGGCAACACCAACTTGCTGTGCCCCGAGGTGAAAATCGCTTCGCGCTTCAGTTCATCGAGGTGAATAAACCTGGCAAAAAAGGGGATGTTGGCAAGGTAAGGTCCCCAGCCTTTGACTTTTTCAGATCTGGCTTAGTAAGTTCATTGAGGGCATAGAACATGATGTAACATGATGTCACTATAGATGTCTATAGTTCATGGGTTTATAAACCAAGTTAGTCCATTTTATAACTGGGGCCCCAACCACCTGGTGACTCAAAACGCAGCCAATTCCCCTGGGGATGATGAAATGATGGGGTTGAAGCCGAGAAAAGGTCAAGATTTATGCACTAAAAGATGGGAATGAGAGTCAGCTTTAGATGATTTTAGATGTTTTGTTTTGAAACTTCAGAAGCTTCTTAGAAAAGAGATGGAAAAGAAATGGGATGAAAAACATCTGACATCTTCAACTTGAAAGAAGAATGAGGAAATTCTGATGATGGGGAGAGTGCTGGGTTTGACCACAGCCCAAGTCCCCTCGTCCCCTTGTCCATTTCTCGATATTTCTACTGGGTGCCCAAATTGACAAATTCACGGATGCCAACAGCAACAAATGGGTGCAAAAAATGGAGAAATTTCCCGAGCTAAGCTCGCACGAAAAGGGGAAAAAAATGATTCGAAACCGTGCCGGATGCCTCAGATTCTGGACCTCTACCCCGCCTACCATGCTTCATCAGGACAAAGTCTGTGTCATTCCCAAGGATGCCAATGGTCCTGGTTCAAAGGGTGCCCTTTTTGCTACACGAGCCTGTAGAATTGGGTCGCCATCCTGATGGTTTGGTATTTGTTGGTGGTTTAGATGTGTTGCTTCATGAAGATCCCCATGTATTGACGAAATCTGGCCAACCAAATCACCCATCAATCTCCCCTCCAGTCCGTTGCGCCAGCTGAAATTTTATGCTCAAACACTCCCTCGATTCCAGCCAAAAAAAAAACACCGATGACACGGCTTTGGCCACCTTTTGGGACCAAACCCAAGTGATCCACGAACTCTGAAAAAATGTCACCCATATATCCATCTATATCCTCCTATGATCAACGAAATTGCAATGTTTGGCGATCTATCCAGAAGCAGTCCGAGCTAATGTTAAACATCTATGAACCATCTTGTGTTGCATTATTACCATTAAATAAATGAAAATGGCATCGAATATTCACCCCCCACCGTGTTAACTCACCACACTTCGCCATTTCTGTTGTTGATTGAACCATTTTGATATTCACCATCCTGTTCAACATATTCAACCATACCATTTTTATCGAATTACATCTCATTTTCACCATTGAAATTGACCACCTATTCACCACCCTCAATCATTAACCATTTATTCACCATTATTAACCCTTTATTATCCATTTATTCACCATGTATTCACCATTTATTCACCATGATTGTCCTCATTCTTGGTGATTCACCAGCAAAAAAATACCATCTCCGGATCTCCTCGGCTTCATCAGCTCCGCCGCCAGCACCGGATCCGCCTCGCCGAAGGCCGTGACCACCGCGGCGGGCGCGGCGTCGCGGCCCTGGAGGCCCTGGAGGCCCTGGCGCACGGCGGCCTCGAAGAGCGCGCCGCGCTGCGGGGGACCAACGGGTTTTGTGGCGCTGCCATGGAGGTAGAGCTTGAGATCTCTGACCTCAGAGATGTCCATGTGATTTTCCCAAGATTTTCCTCTGGGAAACATGTGATTGCGAAAACATGGGGAATTTCCATGAGATGTGGGATTTTCCCATGTGAGTTGGAATTTCATGGGGGGTTTCATGTGTCCATGGGACCTTTTTGGGATGAAGGCATGATGACACCAAGGATGGTAAAAGGGATTCATTTTACTGGGATTTAATGGGATTTAATGGGACAAATGATTGTTTTAATGGGGTTGATGGTGATTGAAAATTATAATCATGGGATGAGCTTGTGTTTTTTTGGAAGCGATTGTTTAATGACATTACATGTTGGGATTATACTTAGGAAAGCAATGTTTTTTCAATGATAATCTCATGGGATGAATTTTCATGATGCAGGGAAACCAATGGGGATTCTATAACGAGGCGATTCTCTCCTCAGTAGCCGTAAATCACAAATCAACTTTGTCTTGCGCCTCCGCCGGAGCCTATCTTAAGCGATGATCATCCCTGAATCTTGTAGAGCAGAGAAAAATACAGACATGGCCAGCCTGATTCTACAGTTGTTTAAACCCCCTGACTCAGCCAATGACTCCTGAGTCCCGGGGCCGCCCAGGAGCATGCCAAACGGTTTGAACCTTGCCCTGAACCTTGCTTGAAATCACCTGGACTTCTGAACCTCTGAACCCTTAAACCCTTGAGCCTTGAAGTCTTAGATCCTTCTTAAGTTGAACCCAAGCTCCCAGAAGGTCCTAGAAGCTCCCAGAAGCTCCCAAAAGGCCATCCTCCGTTCATGTTAGCTACACCTCCATTTTATGGCACAAAAAAATTGTGTTTTATCACCTACATCCACCATGATGACTCTGTCGGGCCACGGTCCCGAGCTTCTGCTCAGCTCGGCTCTTCCACTCCTCAAAGGCTGCGGCTTTGGCTCGAACGGCTGGATTTAGGGAATCTATGGGGGGATTTTAAGGAACATTATAAGGAATTTATAATTCAGGGGATTGATAGGGGATTTAAAGGGTTTTTAAGGAATTTAAGGGATTTCGGTGATCTACGAAAAAAATGATTTGGCTCAAGTTTGCTTGCCTCCAAAATGGATGGAATAATACTAAAATTCACATTTCGTGGGTATGGTACCCCCCATCTTCGAGCCTAAACCAGATTTTGATTGCATCACTGATATCGTTCCTTCCTTAAGCGAACAAAACCTCGAAGAATGAGGATATTGACACAGGGCTTGTACTGGAAAAATGCTGGTCCAGCGATTCGATCCAGACATGGAGATTGAACGATTGATCATGCGGCTGACGCGCCGCCCTTGGAAGGGTTGCTTATTTTGAGATGTGCCATTCACGATCCCTTGGAAAAGTTGCAAATTTGAAAGATGAAGGTTGTGAAAATGAGGGTTCAAGAATTGAATTTAGGGGTTGGATGTCTTAAGGTTCCTGCAAACGCGTTACGTAGTTAACATGTTACACATGCTCTCTTATGGTCGACAGTGGGGGTGTGGGGGGTGCATGGGGGAGTGTGATAACGTTCTTGACGAATATAACACAGGGCCCACGGAATTTGTTACCGCTGTTATAACATGTTTCACATGCTCTCTTATGGTCAACAAGGGGGTGTGATAACGTTCTTGACGAGTACAACACATGGCCCACGGAACTTGTTGCCGTTGTTGACATGTTGCACATGCTCTCTTATGGTCAACAGGGGGTTGTGGGGGGTGGGGGGGTGTGATAACGTTCTTGGCGAGTACAACACAGGGCCCACGGAATTTGTTGCCGTTGTTGACATGTTTCTGACGCGCTCTCGGCGGTTGCATGCGTCATAGCGTCGCCTTGTTTGAGTCTGTGGCCGCGGCTTTGCCGAAAGCACTTTGGCACTGATGCTTCGAAGAAAAATGGATGGATGATCTGGTGGATGTTTGCATGGTAAACTTGAAGATCATAAATTCCTAATATCCTTCCTAATGTTTTTTTAAGCACTCGAAGAACAATTTTTTTAAAAAGCACTCGAAGAACAAAATTGATTCACCGCGCAGGCAAAATGCACATTTTTGAACTTGAGTCACACGCCTGCCAATCGAAATGAATGTCCATGTTGCAAACATGTTTTGACAAGTCCCACAAATACCAGCATTTTGTCTCTTAGCCTCGAAAATCTCAATTTCAAATGTGTCACCCTTTAGCAAGAGCGGCGAGTCAACCGGTTGCCTTGTTCATGGTGTGGCAACACTCCAGGAGCAAAATGCTTTACCTCTTGTAAGAAAGAGAAAACCAGTTCTTCTATCATCCCCATCCAACATGGCTAGTTTGCCCAAAAATCCCTAGCTGGTCCATGCGGAAAACACTTGAGTGCTCTTCAGCAACAAAGACCTACAGTTCTTGAGGAAAGGAGGTGACCTATCAGAGTTAGGAGTTTTTTTTTGTCCCCAAACTGATGGCTCAATTGGCTCAATAACCATTCCCATTCTCAAGCCCAGTTTGTCACTTACATCCTTGCAGCTGATCCACGTCCTACCCAGCACTAAGGCATGGTTAGTCTTAGCCAAAAATGTTGGTAGGAACCAATGAACACCTGTACCTAAGCCTTTTTTCTACCCGGATATAGCTATTCTCATGACCACTATCGGAGCAGTCCCGGCTCTGCCCAGAATCTTCCAGCACTGCCAAATCCCACATCGACAGATAAGTGTCCATTCTTCCATTCGACGTTGGGACGTTGGATTATCAGAGTAGAGCCCCAGATTTCTTTTGCCCAAAAAAAAAAAAGATGGAGTTTCTGGAATAACCCGCCTGGTTCCCAAAAGGTTCTGAATCTCTGAATTGTATCATTTACAGCCGGAAAAAAAATCGAAAGTTTCGATTTTTCTCTCCTCAAATCCAAGAAATCCAAAATGGCTATCTAAACAGACCAGTTCTCAACAAGTTCTCCCCTTCAAATCCAAAAAAAAAAACGGCGCACCTCCAACTTGCTCTCCATCTCTGCCGCCCCAGCGCTACCCCGAGCCCCATCGTCTACAAATTTGCAGAGCACCCCGCAGCGCTGGAAGCGATGCACGAAGGACGCGGCCAGGGACGAAACCTTCGCAAAGCCCCAGGAGGAAATTTCGTCCTGGATCCGAAAACGGGATGATTTGAATCACGAAAAAAACTGAAGTTTGGGCCTTTTTTAACGGATTGCAATGGGGATGGGTCAAAACCCTATCCCCCTGTAGTTCACATCAAAATAGCTGGGTTAAAATGGATGTTCATCCCCCTAAATAGCTGGTATGAAAATAGGTATTGATCCATAGCCAAATGGATGTTGGTGCAACGAAAAAAAAAATCCTGGGAGTTCATGAAGCACAGCATTTTCTCCGCAGATTTTCCAGTGGATTCAGATGATACACTACATAATCATATGGGTGTGTCTGAAAATGTCGTGTACCCCTAAACCCAATGGTTAATGATCATTATCCCTATTAAATGGCTATAATTGGGAATATACCCTATTTTCAGACAAACCCATATATGAATCGCTGGGAAAAAGAAACACTGAGCCATAAAAAACGAAGTTTTTGGAGTTGGTTTCTTTACGAGGCAGACAAACATCCAACTTTTGGGGATCTGTAGAGGCTGGAAGCAATGAATTAACTGGATCTAATCAACAGGCACCCAACATTGGGAGGGAAAAGCAACGATATTTTGGGGACCTTGCCTAACCCAACAAAACATTGGATGTTGACGAACAAAACGAAGAAATGGGCCATCTTGGCATCGATGGATGGGAAAGGCTTTCGAGAAAGATGGGAAACTCACCAAAGACTGGCAACGGATCGACAATTTGTCGATACTTCAGTGGTTCTACTCTCTGTACAATCCTCAAAAAGATAGAGAATTTAGGTAGCACTATTTTAGCCGGATGTTACTTTCTATCATTTTACCTTTTTGGGGATCAAAAAGTGTGTTCCATCCGCTCTCACTAAAGCATCAACCTGATTTTGGTCGCTCGATTTTTGGTCCTCAAAGCTGGCCAAGAGCCAAAAGCAGAAAGCTTGGAAGTCAACCATCAGCACATCCTGCCAGGTAGCTGGGCCAAAACGGGCAACCTGGTGGAAAATCCATCACCAAGGGCCTTGAGTTCAATCAGATCTATTTTTTGATGCAACTTTTCACCAAACAATATTTTTGGCAGAAAAACTGCTATTCAGAAATTGGCAGTTTAGTGCTGAAAAAACCTCATTTTACCCGAAACAATTGGCACTTTCACCAACGGATGTCACCTCTTGGCTCGGATTCGCAGGAGGCTCCTCTAAGGCTCTCTCCTTCGTCAGATGGTCTTGGGAAACGGTGAGGTTTGCCGGGGGTCCTTTGAAAAGATCAAGATCGGTCGTACATATGTCTAGAGATTATTCTCCACTAGTGGTGGATTTAATCATGTAATATCTGTAATATGTATTTTTTCTCGGCCCAAAACTGGAGGAAAAAGTGAAACGATTTTTCCACAATCGACCATCAAGGTTCCCTTCAAACGAATTCAATCCGAGGACGTGGCCCTCGCCGTGAAATTTGGATGGTGGGAACTGATTTTTTCATCCGAAAAAGGTTAAACTCTCAGTTCTTAGGATTTCACATTCCATCCCATGCTGCCTATGCTTTAAATCATCGTCCAGATTCCAGGGTTTGGTGTTTCATGGGGTATCCCCCCTGAGTCTGAAAACCCCAGATGCATCCCATGCTATGAACCCCAAGAAATTGTTGAGTTTCTACTGGGCAAATCATTTTCCATACAGAATTATACCGTGTATTTATATACAATTATATGTATATATATAGTTATGTATATTATATATATAGTGATATATAGTTATGTATATTATATATATATATATAGTTATATATATATGATTATATATATATGATTATATATATATATGTGTGTGTGTGTACAGTATGTATTTATTTACATATACACAATACATGTGTGTAAATGAATAAATAATGGCTTTGCAGCTGTCGATTTCCGAACTCCTCGGGCTTGACCTTTTTCAAGACCTTCAACAAGTCCCGCACGCCCATCGTGGCACGCCGCGTGAAACCGGGTGGCCGGGTCTTCCGGCACCGGACAAATCTGGGGCTCAAGCCTAGGCTGAGCCAACGTGGTGCGAGTTGATTTTGCACTATGGAAATGACATGTTCATGTCCAGGTATCAATGCAATCCGCAGCCGCATGGATCAATGGAGAATGATTTAGAAAAAGATAAAATGGCCAACCACTCCATCTGAAATGTTGACCGTCATGCAACACTGGAGCTGCACCTGTCTGAAAAACACTTTTTTGCCTTGCTAGCATTTGTATACGTGTGTAGACCCTTGCTATGCAATTGCTGCTCAAATAAATATAATTGCATGGCTACATCTCTGGTGTACGGTCTCTTTGCCCGTCTTAAAACAGAGGACCCCAAAATTCCAGTTGACACAGGTGCGCCGTCCTGGGTCCCGAAATATGTGCGAAAAATGCCTTAAGTGGCGTAAAAAATCTCCGCAGCCAGTTCTGCTGAGGTTTCACCACCACCACTACACAGATCGAAGATGCAATCATCCATGACCTCTTTGTACAAGGCCTCTCTGGAATTTCCCAGGTATTTCCGGCAAGTCTTGGCATACTCCTCCTTATCTTCTTGCGTGCATGACATCAAGACCAGTGATGGTCCTGGAAGGGGGAGACAACTTTGAAACAAAGATGTACCAGCGACCTACGCCAACAGAAAAGGTTAAGTTTGCAAGAATTGTTTGCCTCATATCTTTACGAGAGGCCCTTGCATTTGATAGGTAGCAACTTCGGTTTTAAGTAAATTACTCTTGAGAATACTTGAAATCGACCCTGAAATTACAACAGTCGCAAGGCTTGATTTTTTTTTCATCCCACAAGGATTAATGATTTTTAGCCAGCCGCCCAGCCGGCACAATATGATTGAAATAATTTTGGCCAGTCAATTTTACAGAACCACTATAGTATCGTAGCATGTAAAGACTCCTTTCACAAAGATCATCCTGGAAAGAACAGGACCAAAGGTACGCCACAGTACGCCAGGAATGGTAATAACAAGAACTAAGATCAATACCGCACGCAAAAACTCAGAGTGAAACCATGGCCTAAACTCCAAGTATTCTCAAGTCCATAAAAAGGTGTTTTTTTCCTCTCTAACCCTGAAGAAATCCCTTCCATTTGTCGCTCGTCCTTTCGTGTCGACTGCGTTGAAATAAGCTGCAGCATCTGGGCTTCCTCCAAGGGCAGCCCAGTCCGACGCCACGGCGAACCTGGGATGATGGGCTGGGTCAAAATCGCACCCTGTACGCAAAACAAAAGAAGTTGCTAGTTCTGGATGTTCATCAAATTTAGGATCCATTGTTGCTTGACATCTGGATTTTGTGTATGTGTGCATCAAAACTCCCATTTTCGATGCTCAAATTGCGCTTTTGCTATCGATGAAATCCTTCCAAAACCGGGGTGGTGTCGCTCAGAAAAAAGGCCAAGAGCAGCGCAAAATGGTACTTGACAGCACCAAGTACTTGAGGTTGGTTTTTCAATAGAGGGATTGTCTGAAAATAGCAAGGCTACCCGAAGGATACCCGATCCCATCCGATACTTGTCATTTCCGGAAATACAAAAGGCATGGATTAGATAATTGTGTCGTTCTTGACAAAACTATCCGACTGTTCCCCAATTCTTCTTATCCCCACAACGGCAATGTTTTTGGTCAAAATCATCAAACCAGATAAAGTCATGACCCAGGTCAGGAAGGGTGGAAAAATGTACATCTGAGTTGTTGAATGGTTGATTTGAAGGTAGAAAACCCATGTCGTTTGCATCAAAATCTAGCTGGATATAACGGGGATGTGCATCTCTTGTTGGCTGATGTCTGAAGTTTTCTTAAATCGCCCATTTTCGATGTTTGAATGTCCGCTGTTGTGTCAGTGAACTCCTTCCAAAACCAAGGTGTAAAATTGGCAAAACGACAAAACTTTCAGACTGCCTCCCTGTTATATGACCCAAAACATGGCAAGGTGCTTTGTCAAAAAAAATCTGGGTTTTATGATTGGGTTTACCATGGTTTACCCCTTTATGTGGATGCAACCAATTTGAAACCGCATTTAGAACACTGTTCGAAATCCCTACAAACCAGCAGAACTAATGGCAGTATGAACGTAGCATTCTGCTTCGATGTGCGTTGCGCAGTCCCTAATTGGGAGGTAAGTGGGAAATAGCCATCTAAACTAGCCAAGTTGAATATATGAGTTGTCAACCACGTACTAACTGGGGTGCACGCTCAAGTAGCACTGTATTCAGCACGCAAAAAAAAAATGTGCTGGCAAAAGACTCCGCATCTGTAGCCATCACAGTGCCTTCACGGTTGCCCTCCAAACCTCTGCAGCGCCACAGATAAGCGCATAACTGTAGACAACTAAAATGTCAATGAAGCCAGTGCAATTTTGGAAAACTCCGGGCATATGTTCCAAGAATTTATTTATCTAATTAAATACATACATACATATATATATATAAAATCTATATATAAAATCTATATGTATATATATATATATATTGCAATTGGAGCAATTGGTAGAAGCCCAGCTGATACTGATGAATGATGTAGATCGTCTGTATTGATAAGCCCCTTCCAGAGTGATTCACTGATACTGTTATATCTTCCAGATGGAACCCTCTCCCAAGCTCAACCAGCAGGCAGTCTACTTCTTTTGTCGCCAAAATTGAGATATCCCAGATGCAGGCGAAGCGAACACACTTCGAAACGGATGCAGCAGCAAATGCCACGTCGGGCGGCCTCGCCCCTAAAGCAAAAGCGGTGAACCCGGTCACCTATGGCTAAAGATGGAACCGGCAACAGTGGCTCGCCTAAGCCGAAATCTGAGAAACGCTGATTGGTGACACCTGAAACAAAATGGAGTTGGAAGGAAAATGACATGTGGACTGTTAAGTTTGGTGGAATTCACACTCGTTAAAAATTTTCAGTTTGTCTTTTTTGGGAAAGGTGAAGGAAATTTTGTTCTTGGCATAAGTCGTCATATTCAAGTGTCTGTTGTTTCTTTGGATTGGTTCAACCATTTGATTCGGTCTTTGGATTTCGCTCGCTCTTTCAACAGGGCATCCTCATCACACAATCGGCATACCCCCATCTTTAGGGTTTCATGAAGAAAACTAGTTTCCATCGATTTTGTGAGGGCGTCTGCAAGTTGGGCTCCACTGTGTACCCATCGAACCTGGATGCCTTCCTTGATTGCTTCCTTGATAGCTCTCGCCACTGATACACGAAATTCTGAACACGGAGGGGCAGTCCGGTTGATCAAGTCAAACAATGACTTACAATCAGTTATGGCAAGATCACGTTGTTCCTGAATTGTTGGTGCTGAGATGGCTGGTTCAAGCTTGGATAAAGCTTCTTCAGGGCGTCGCCACTGCACGTTCGGATCCATCAGCCATGCCCAAAATAGCCTAAACCATGCTAATTGGTCAAGTGCTGCTGCCATCGCGGTGGTTTCTGCGGACAGGGTGCTGGTCACCACACGCTGTATTTTTCGGCAACCCCAGGACAAGGGACTGATTGGACATTGATGATTCTTTGAGATATTCTTATGGGTACCCACTATGATTACCTCAGCATGAGAGTCTGGTTTCTTATGCGATGAGAATGACACATCTGAGAAAGCCATCAGTCAGAAATCTTTTGGTGCAATCGGTTTAATGACAATGTTGACATGGTGATGTTTCTTTGCTTCATGTAGTAGTTTGTTGGCTTCTTGAAGGGTTTCAACTTTGGCACTATTAATGGCGGATTGCAAAAATGAAAGTTTGCTGGCAATGTCTGGTCGAGTGTTAACTGCGGCATACTGGAGACTACCGATCACTCCCCTTAGAGAAAGTCGTTCTGATTCAGTTACATTTTGATCTGGTTGGAGTTTACGATCACTGTGAATATTAATGGGTTTGATCTGCTTGATGTAATTGGCCTGTGACAAATGAATGCTGTTGTCCGGTTGTTGAGTGATTTCAATCCCTGTGAAAGTGAATGCAATGCTCTTCTTTGATCCAAAGGCATATTTTTGTTCCAGTTTGTCAATCTGTTGTTGGTAATAGGAATTCCCCCCTCCTACCCCATCGTCCACATGGATTCCTAAGACTCCAGCCAACGACCCATCCTTCTCGCGAAGCACAAACACACAAGGATCAAACGGGCAAGCTTCGAAATTCTGCTTTTGAAGTTCGCTCACAAGTGAACAGTACCACAAGTAAGGGGCATCGATAAGCCCGTATGCACTTTTATTGAGTTTTCCCACTTCGCTTGGCAGCATGTTAAGTGCTCTCCTCATCTCAGGCACTGGATCAATTGCCGTGATTCGGTCAGACTGGGGTTGTCCTTGCAAGAAAGCAGCTTTAATGTCGAAAGATTGGAGTGTCCATCCAAAAGAAGAAACCGTCTGGAAAATCATCATTCTTGAGGTCTTGTTAAGGGTTGGACTATCCCTGGGAATTTCCTCTATTTTCGGGTCCAGGTATCCCAATACCACCAGCCTCGCCTTTGCTTTGTGAGTCTGGCTGGATGGATTGTTAGCGGAAGTGGTTTCGGATTGATCTATATTATCCAAGGGTTTCCAGGTTAAAATCCATCGGCATTTGAGAATTTGCTCTTGGGGAATCTCATGGCGGAATACTTTTGTCAACGTTCCAGTTTGAATCCAGTTTTGAATCTCTTTGTCTTTGGCCTGATCAAATTCTTTGCGTTCTGACGGACTCAGCTCTGACAACCTAATTTCTGACCTCTGTTTCTTGGCACTGGTCGCCAGAAGCATCCATGCTTCTTCATTGGTCGGATGCCGTTGTTCCAGTGGCCTATCCAGCTTGACATCGACTTCGCAACGCCATGCTATTGGACACTCGGCAGTGGCTACCAGGCTGTCTGCGGGATCTTCACTGATCAGGTACATGGTATCTGATGGTTCATCGGATTCTTCGAGATCGTTACTATTTTCCTGCTCTGACTCAGGTTGTGATATTGATTCATGGGAGATCATTCTGTCTGGTGCATCATCAGGTTCTCGGGGGCTGCTTCTTCATTGGAGTGTTCTGGGTTATCATCACGAGGTGTTATTGGGAATTCATCTTGGTTGTTATTCATGAGATTTCTTGACATGTTGTGGATTTGTTGTTCCAATTTTGTCCATTGAATGTCGGTTTCAGAACCTGGTGTTCCTTCTTCGGATAGGGCGCTCCGGACATGTTCTGGGGCGCGGCGATACAATCGGCCGCATTGAGTGGTCCATACTGTGTGATTGTCATCCTGAAGAACTACCCTTTGTGGACCGATCCATTGGGGATCATTGTTGGGGTTATGTTGCCATATCATTACCCATTGACCCTTTTGGAAGACCCCTCTTTGTGGGCACGGTCGGCGAAGCATCGCCCGGCGCAAGGCATCGCAATTGTCGGCTGCATGATAGGCTCTTCTTGCTCTTTCTCGGACTTGCAACATTTCTCGGAACATGTTTGGAGTGATTGTTTCATCTTCTTGAGTTACTTGAGAGTGGGATGGTAATGATTCATCTGACATCACTGACCCTGGGACTCGTGAGTGTCGACCAAACACAATCACTTCTGGAGCATAACCATGGTGTATGCTGAGGCAGTTCTTTGCATGAGTACATTGGCTGAGGGCTATTTGCAACTCTTCATACGAGGTTATGTGGCTTTCAGTGTCCATCTGAGTGAGCATTGCCTGGAGAAATTGCCCGTGCCTCTCTATTTGGCCATTTTGCCAGTGAGCTCCCGGACACGTTGTGTCTCCTTTGATATTGAACCGTTGCAGAAAGGCTGCAAACTGTTCACTGTTCAGCCCTGTCTCCGAGTCCACCATGATTTCATTTGGGGGTCCTGCCCAGCTAATCCAATGACGAGTGAGAAATTGAATTACATGTTCGGTTTCCCTTGATGGTGACGTAATTGCAACATGGAAATTTGAACCGGCATCTATGACATGGTAAAAGTGAAAGGATTGTCCTTGAGAATTGGTCCATTTTACCCCATCAACATAGATACGTGAGTTGAACTCTCGGATTGGCTTGAGAATTGCTGGTCTCTGGTGTTTTGGAGGGGTACATGCTGAGCACGTTGCACATTCGAGCTCCTGTGACGCATGGACAATTTCAGGTCGGTATCCGGCTACTTGCAGGGCTCGTGACAGTCGATCATTGGACGGATGCCCAAGGTTCTTATGCATCTGGATGATCACGCGTTGTTCCCATCTTGGAAGAGCTTTGAAATTGGGACCTGTTTGTCGGATAGGTCTTTCCCCTGGCATGACTGCATGGGTCCTATTATCCGCAGGAGAGGGATTAATTGGGCTATTGATGTTATCTTGGGACCACATAGGATTATTTTCTGGCCCTTCAACTTCATTGGGAATTGGGAAATTATCAATGTTGGATGGCATGGCTGTCACGGGGTCTGCATGGCTCGATTCTGTCTGGCAGGGTGCAGACTGGACACTGGCTGGCTCTGACACTGACGGCACTGGGTTTGACCCTTGGGAACTTTGGCTCGATTCACCTTCAACAGGCCATGGTTTTGCAAACATCGTGACACTGATCCGGCAGGCATGTGCTGGACGGATCAACTGGCGGTTGGCAAGGTTAACCCATTTTTCCCAGTACTTTTCATACGTGATAGCCCCTGTTCCTCTTTCCAAAATGAAACTTTTCCGGATTGGTGCTTCCTCTGGATGCATTCCCTTTGGTGGGCCTAATGTTCGATCGGTTCCTCGGCAGGCAATGACATGAATGATCTTTTGGTCATGAAACATTTTCTGAAGTCTCTCTAGTACCTTGGGATCCTGTATTGCACTTTTGCCAACCCTGGGAATTATCTGATTGATCTCTGACATAAGATCCTGGTAGTCTTCGAGGTGATGGTCTTCACTTGGTTTTCCCAAGCGTCTGCGTTTGACATGTTCATCTCGGGAGGACGGGGTGACCAATTCTGATTTGACAAATTTGGTTTTCTGCCGGACTTGGTAACAACATGTACCTCGGCATCCGTGTCCTGACACATGTGGGAAAATGCTACTTGCCAGTTGAAGGGCCTGTCACGGTGATTGTGCATCATGGCTCTGGCAACCTCTCTGGCAAACTTTCGAGGATACACTTCCGTATAACGACTGCGCAAAATCGTCCCTTGAGGTGTGGTGAACGATCCAGCTATTTGTTGGTGGAGATGGTTGCCCTGGCAAATCCTACCATGTAGTAATTGGTATATGGTCTTGGAAGTGGTTACTACATTCATTCCCTTTTTCATTTGCATTCCATTTGATGGATCTTTGAGGTCTCCAGCGTTGCACATGTCGAATTGGCACGTCTGTGTGTACTGATACACTTCAGCCATTCCAGGAAATCGCAACATGAGAGATCTGGCCGGTTGTTCCCAGTGGAAATGCATACCCTGGGACACTTGGTGTCGGAACAGCACAATTCCTAAGGCAAGTTGGTACATCAAGTTATGTCTTAACTCCTGGTATTTTCTTGGGATTCCATGGACTTCGAAGAGTTCAGATATGACCATGATGACCAAGGGCCGCAGTCTGGGCTATACCAAATGTTTCGGGGACGGTGCACGGCCAGCTGCTTAAACAATTTGGCACGGCCATCTGCCTGCGCAAGATCTCCTTGCGGCAATCCAAATCGAAAACAGCTACCGCCCTGCGCTTTGACTTGATGTGTCAATGGTGATTCATCACTGCAAAATACTTCAGCTAGAGTCATACGAGTACCCAGTGGAGACATGGTGGCAATCTGGACATCCAATTCTTCTTGAAATTGTTGAACCAGTTTGTGAAACCTTTTCATGTCAGCGTTCATGGTCAGATGCACCTGATCTTCATCTTGACACATCAATTCTCCTGGATGGAGTCGTTTGCCTGATCCTCCAGGTGTCGGATCACCCGGCTCAGTGCATCCTCCATGTTGAGCATGCGCGTCTGCAGTGCTTGAAACTCCTCGGCACGCTGCTGATTCAGGTCCACCAGGGGCATAGTCTCCGGGTTGGACATCTCGATATGTCACATGTCTTCCCGTATGGCATCGCTCTCGATGAGCTGGAGGTCTGAGATCTCGGCCTTGTCCACCTCGGTCCTGGTGCGAGGTGCTGCCTTGCACTTGGGCTGTCGACGGCTGGTCATTGGAGCTGCCACACTCTTGGTCTTGGGCACTCGCACTGGGAGCTGATGCTCCTCGTGGTATACTTCAGCTTCAGCTCCACAAACTTCATCAGACGGCGATGTTCTGGCTTGACACTGGTCTCGTATCGATTCACCATGAACTTGATCCACTCCGGATCGGTCTTCCAGACATGCTCCATGTTGGCACCCTGGTGCTTCTCCCCAAACTTGATCTTCTCGGCTGATAGCTCCTCCAGTGTGAGGTGCGACAGATCCTCTCCCTTCACGGTCACCTCCTGATGCAACTTGCTCAGTCGCTGGCTCATCGACATGACTGAGAGGGCTGATGCGGTCAACGGATCTGATTCCTGGTGATGAGCTGTTCTGAGCCAAGTTCCCTGACATCCCAAATGGTTTTCCCTTTGTTTCCCATGTTTGAATCAGCTGGCTAACTTTCCGTGACCCTGTAAGCTTATTGATTTCTTCAGTCGACCCTTCATGCTGTGGAGTTGATTTGTCATGACAAACAGTTGTATTGGCTGACATCGGCGGCTGCTTGTTTGCACAGTCCTCGGACGCAAAAGTTTCATGGCAAGTGTCAGTCTTCGCAGGCACTTTCGAGGACTTCGGATTTGCACTGTCGGCCGCATGAATCATGTCATTCAAATCAACTAGAAAAAGTCCTTTGTTGGTCAGCTGAAGTGGAACTGGATTCTTAAACCATGGGCTTGACAGTTTCTGATGGTGGCAATCGATCTTGGCCTTAAGCGCTCGCATCATAGTGTTACTCATCAAAAAGGGTGTGCTACCGGAAACAATTGCAACTTTGAGGTGAAAATCTCCTACAGGTACTACCAATGCCTGAGAACTGGTCAACGTTCCTTGATTTCCAAACCTGAAAGTGATTTCACACGGACACCGGTATAGCTTTCGGCAAGTGCTTGGCTGCAGACCTTGAATTAAATCAGACACATGTTCACTGCCTATTACCGTCTTGGTTGCCCCCAGATCCAGCACTCCGAGGGAGCTATGTGTTGCAAAAAGCACGGCTGCAGGCATGTTGATCGTGTCTGACATACATGGTGTTTCGGTGCTGGAACTGACAGTGGTACATGGCAAACGGCTCTGGCTTCGGCTTGCATCTACCGATCCCGATTCCGTACTCTCACTCTTGGGTCGGATGCATGGCGACTCACTCCTGGTGATTCGGGCCAGGAGTCTCTCACGGGCGCTAAGGCTTAGGTTACCCCCATAGCTATTTGTCCTACCCGAATCATTATGATTCCCCTGAGTACTATGATGGCTATGTTTCCCAAGTCCTACAACAAAAAAAACATCAGTCATCCGACCCTTTGTCATGGCATTGGTGTCCTCATCAATGGCGGACTCATTCACTTCGGGCAGCTGCATGAACTCCATGGGCAAACTCTGGCTGGCAGCAACGGCATTCCCCTCAGTCACCACGGTGGAAGTGGGTGCAGTGCTGGCGGTTGATGATCCAGCTGATCGATTGGATCCTGTCCTGTATGGACATTCCGCTTTCCAGTGGCCACGTCTGCCGCAGGCACGGCAATTCGAGGACATGATTCTGTCCTGCAGGCTACGTCTTGGCTGAACACGCTTTCCTTTGCTACTGCCCTTCTGGTTGAAGGACAATCCCTTACCCTTTGAGGTACTATTGGAACTTCGACCAGAAACCCCTGTTGCGGAATTTCTCACTCAGGCGGGCACGTGCTTCTTGGTAAGCACTGTAAGCGGTGGCAAGATTGGCATCATCTTGCAACATTTCCACTGCAGTTTCTTCGAAATCGGCAATGAGGCAGGCATCATCATCACCTTGTTCTCGAAGAGAGTCAACCAAATTGTCCTCAGTCCACTCATCCTGAGCTACATAAGAGGCTTCCGCGGTTTCTTCATCATCTTCATCACATGCAAGCAAGGTATTTTGGTCATACACCTTGCCTTTTGGACCTTTCTTCACTCCAGTCATTTCTTGAAAGAAACTGGCACCCAAAAGGCGGATGGCTTCTGTCACACACTGCATTGAAAGGCTGCCGGAGTTCTCGCGATCACTGTCCAGGATTACCGTCTTCTTTTCCTCGGGACTGAGGCCTGATCCACGTAGGATGATGTATGCTTGAAGCTGCTCAATGGTCAGTTTGCGACTCAACAACTTGCTCCAGAGAACGTCTATTCTGGCTAAGAAGCTGTCATTGGTTTCATCGGCTTTCTGGACTGACTCAAACAAAGCCTTTTCAGCATCATCATATTGTTTCTGTAACGGGATACGGCCCCATTGTCCCCCCAGCAGTTCAATCAGTCGATGGACTGACTTCTCCTCACCTGTCAGCAGTTCCGATTGGTGCAGCTGTAGCTTATGGAAAGCACTGCCTTCACATCCAAGAATTAACCTTGTCACCAGCTCTGTCAATTTGGCCTTAGCCCATGCCGCAAGAACCAGTTCAACTTTCTGTTGATATACGGTCATGTCATCGGATGCAGGATTGAACGTCGGTACCAAGGATGCCAGCTGATTGCTAACACCTGCATTGGGCTCAGTTGTTGCCGCAGTTGATTGCGCCATTTCCCGGATGCCGCCCCTTCTGTAAACGGAGTGGGGCGGCTCCGCTACCAATGCAATTGGAGCAATTGGTAGAAGCCCAGCTGATACTGATGAATGATGTAGATCGTCTGTATTGATAAGCCCCTTCCAGAGTGATTCACTGATACTGTTATGTCTTCCAGATGGAACCCTCTCCCAAGCTCAACCAGCAGGCAGTCTACTTCTTTTGTCGCCAAAACTGAGAGATCCCAGATGCCGGCGAAGCGAACACACTTCGAAACGGATGCAGCAGCAAATGCCAGGTTTGGCGGCCTCGCCCCTAAAGCAAAAGCGGTGAACCCGGTCACCTATGGCTCAAGATGGAACCCTTTCCCTCCCGCGAACAGTGGCTCGCCTAAGCCGAAATCTGAGAAACGCTGATTGGTGACACCTGAAACAAAATGGAGTTGGAAGGAAAGTGACATGTGGACTGTTAAGTTTGGTGGAATTCACTATATATTTCTACGTAGATAGATAGACAGACAGACAGATAGATAGGACAGATAGGACAGATAGGACAGATAGGACAGATAGGACAGATAAGACAAATAGGATAGATCGGATATATCGGATATATCGGATAGATCGGGCAGATAAGATAGATAGGATACATAGGATACATAGGATACATAGGATACATAGGATACATAGGATACATAGGATACATAGGATAGATAGGAATAGATAGGATAGATAGGATAGCTAGATGGTTAGATGGATAGAAGAATAGATGGATAGATGGATACATAGATACATAGATATATACATAGATATTTACATATATATATACAGATATTATATCATATATAATATAGACTATAGGTGTATACGGAAGTATATAGATAGATATATACATAGATACATACACTGATATCTACGTCGATACATAGATACATAGAGACACAGATAATCAGATACATTGATACATAGATTACATAGATTACATGATTACATAGATTACATCGATACATAGATACACAAATACATAGGTACATAGATACATGGATACATATACGTATATAGATACATAGATACATAGATACATAGATACATAGATACATAGATACATAGATACATAGATGTATCGTGAGAAAGACGGAGCCTTCGCCACCTTGTTTTGCCGAATATTCAAAGTCTAGGGATTCTTTCTCAATCAACACTTCTGCAGTTCCCAAAGAAGTCGCATGCTTCTTCCCCACACAGTGCAGAAGGGAGGAGGATAACTTCTTCCACTAACTAATTTCCTTTCAGAAGAAACTGCTCAGCCAAAAGAAATAAGACTCCTTTCACCCAGCTCTGCCACCGCACCTGTAGCCAAGCTCAAACGTCCCGGTGCCAGCTCCCCATGGACGAAGCGCAGATCTTTCTGTGAAGACATCTTGATCTTCACGGAGAGTTGGTGACCTCAAACAAGGCTTCGAAATTCTGTCATCCATTTCTTGCAGGTGTAAGAAGAATCCTAAGCTGTCGCCGGATTTACTTGTAGATTTCGACATTCCTGGGCTGGACCCACTGCTTCATTCACACCTTCCCCTAAGATGCCCACCGGGCCGGCAGCTGATCCAGAGCTGCGCCAATGTCCTGACGCTGCCTTTGTCGTTGATCAAGAGCCTCGGGGCTGCGGCAAGTGATCAAAGTCAGTTCTCCCCTCCTAGGCTAAGCCTCTAAGCCAAAACATTGGAAAACATTGGCCGTCCCTCACCAAGTTGAAAGGCAAATACATTGAGTCAGCTGCGAGCAATTCATTCGTTGACTTCATAATTTTGGCGAAACGCGACTGCCAAAATTTTGGCGACTTCGGCGATTACAGATTGATCGGCCTCCCCAAGTTGCGGACATCGATGAGTCGAGAAACTTGAGCCTTTCTGGCCCATGTTTGGATTCCGAGAGGTTGAAAGCGCCAAATTGAGCGCCATCGAAATCTCTCAGTTTCCTGAGTTAAATCAAAGATTTTGCAGAATTCCGGTGATTTTCTCACGTCTTTTTCGCTGGTCTTTGGCTGTTGCCTCTGATTGCATCTGATTGCCACAAGCTTCAAGTGCCCGGCCACGGGACCCACGGGACGCCACACCATGGCGGTCATGTTGTAGTGGTGCCAGCGGCAATCTTTCGTGGTCACCTCTAAAGCCTCGCCGTGGCCGGCGAATTTTTCGGGAATCCAGGTCCTAATGGCCCAAACACCCCCGTGTTTCGAAACCATGGTGGAAATTCGATCGGAAATTCCACATTCCATTGGGGCCATTTATGGATATTTATGGGGTGTTTAATATTAGGATGATGATGTTGAATATTTATGGGGTGCTTAATATTAGGATGATGGGATTATTGGCATGCTGAGTCTTGGAACAATTGTATCCAGAAAAGGCCACAAAAAGGCCTACAGATTGGTGGATTTTCCGAGTGACTGGGCGGGGAACTGTTTGAGACTTGTCCTCAGAAAACGTGCGAAACATAGCCATTGCGGTGAGGTGGGTCGTTCATAGGGGGGAAGTTTTGAAGGCGCCGGAAACCATTTGGGGAAAGAACTGCTGGATGAAAAAAGTTCACTCAGTGACTGATTCATTGGTTTGTTGATCGGGTGTCTGATGGATTGATTCATTGAATAATTGATTGACTGGTTGACTGCCTGATTGGTTGACTTGTTGAGTTGCTGAGTTGCGTTTTTTAATTGATTCCTGGACTTACAATTTTATTGACCAGACTGATGTGTTGATTGATTGATTGATTGCTTGCTTGCTTGATTGATTGATTGATTGATTGGCTGATTGATTGGTATTGTAGGTCGATAGAGGGCTTGGTAGATTGCTGGAATGATTAACTGAATGAATGCTTCACTGATCATCTTGCATTGGACTTGCTGGCTGTACCCCACGCCACCCCACATGTCACCTGCAACAAACACTCCGACTCAATGATCTGACCATTCCTTGTCACACAACGTGTCAACACGTCCACCAAACATACCTGGTTGGTGGTTGAGCCCTACCCCTCTGAAAAATATGACGAATCGTCAGTTGGGATGATGAAAGTCCCAACTGAATGGAAAGTCATAAAATTCATGTTCCAGACCACCAAACATACTATCTGAAATCTGGGCTATTCCCTGGAGTTATCTTTAACTTTGCACATAGTTGCACTGTGAATCTTCCATTGAAGGGGGAAAAAAGAACAGAGCTGCCGCCTGTGGCCCTAATTTCAATTAGTTTGGCAAGTCGCTCGCCACCCGACAACCAAGTATCAACGAGCAGAAAACCTTTCGTGAAAGAAGCATGGCCTGAGTCCCATGTGCCACCGTGGACCACAGCCAGCAAAAAGATTTGCAACTGTGACAACTGGGGTCGAGAACCTGCATAGTGGGTGAAGATTTCAAAGTCCACCGGTACTTTCCTTCAAACACACTTCACAAGAGGGCAGCAGATGCTTGAACTTGCACACTGGCAAGCCTCTGACAGCATTATCCCTTTGAACACCCGTCACTGGCCATCTTCTGGCCATCGGCAAGCCAATGCCCAGCCATTGCAAACTGAGCTTCTTCGTAGTCCCCTGCACCTGAGGTTTACACTTGTTATATCAAGAAAGTCTTCAAAGGCTTCTGCTGCACTTCTGCTTGGTGTTGTTGATTCCGTTTTGGGAACCAAATATGCGATTGAGTTGCGAGGACTTCGGTTTCATAGCCTAGGTCGAGGTGCAAGATCGCTCTCAACGGCAACAGTCGAACCAGGCAGTTCACAACAGAAAGGACAAAGCGATTCTCGTCAAGTTCTGCCCACCTGAGAAAGCCCACAGGAGAAAGTTGCCCTGCTGCATCAGTGTGTAGTGCCGTCCATCTAACGTACCTGAGGCGATCCAAACTGTGGCACTCACCATGGGTCACCATGGGTCACCATGGGTCACCGGAAAGCATGTAGCCTCCATCCACAAGTCTTAATGAATCAAAGGACTCAAAGGACTTTGGATGAGAAAGGTCTGACAATGCCAATAGACAACCTTCACCTACAGCAAGTCGCGAGTTTTGTGCACCTGTCGGTGACTGCAGAAGGTAAGCAAAACACCCGTGAGAACGTGAAATCAATCATTGGACCATAGTTCACTTGGTTTACCATATTAGGGTACATCATGGTACGTCTTAAAATTAGGCTAGACCCGAATTACCAGAAACTCGCATGGTTTCCCCTGGTTTCCCCGGTTTCCCCGGCAAAAAAAATCTACACCACTTCCAGTCACTTCCCTTTCGGATGGGATGTTCCGCCCCGCCAGGATGCGAAGATGTGGATCACCCCCAACGCCACCACCGGGGGTGCTGGTGCTGGTTGTGGCGCAAGGTCCATTGGCGAGGAGATTGCAGTTGAAGAGGTCCATTGCAGTTGATGCGGTCTCACCTTGGATGTGCCGAAGGGTACCATAGTTTTACCATCGTTGGAAGATCTTCCCAGTACCGATGGATTTTTGCCAAGCAAAAAATGAAAAAAACGTGTTCGTTCGCATCGGTCACTTTGCAAGCAAACGGGAGAGGTCCCAGGGCAAATGTCATTGCCACCTCGGAAGCATCTCCAGTCTCGAATCTTCAGCGTCAACAAGAAACATATTGAAAAATGCTGTTCATGAATCCAATCGCACCAAGACACATGGATCTGGATCTGTAGTTGTAGTTTTATAGCAATATAAAGTATTGGGATAATCATTTGTCCAATCACAGCCGTCGTCGCCGGTGCAGAAGCACTGGAAATCGAGCGGCAAGACGTCGAAATTTTGGCAATCATCAAAGTCTCCACAGGTGACATGAAAACATGATCTAGCGGACAGAAAAACATCAGCCTCCACGCAGCTCGCTGTTTTATCGCAAAGCATGCGAACGTTGCTCGCTTGCTGCACGACCAAAGTTGCCTGAACCAAAGCATTGACCGAAGCTCCAACAGTTCCTGGTTTGTTGATCCCCGAAGTGAATTTGCACGGGACATGCGTGCACAGTGTCTTATCACCCAATCCACACAAAAATCAATAGCTGCTTCAAAAATGTCGAGTTTCGGACGCAGTGGTTTCCTGCGTTAATGAAGGTGAATGTTGATTCGCCTCCTGCTTGAACACCCGCACCTACGATCAGGTCCCCAGTCAAGGTCACGGAGGTGTCTTTCTCGCAGGCATTGTTACCAAGGCAGGCCATGCTGCGCACCGAGCGGAAGCTGCTCTCTTGGCAACTAGATTCACTGCAGCACACATCGCCACCACAGGAAGGATCAGGCTGAAGCTTAAAGAAGCTCTCCTTGCAGCTGCCAGAACCAGTGCAGCAAATCGCTGACGCATTTTGCACCTTAAATATATTGCAAGCCTTGGCACCGCGAAGTTGTGCTGGGACGAGGTTACCCATACCATGCATGGTGACAGTGCCAGTATATGTGCAAATACATTGAGCTCATTTTGGGGGTTGCGTCTAACTCTCACTAAGAATGCAGCTTTACTCTCAAAAATTAGTCTCCAAAATTAGAGGCAAAGTTGTCAATCCTCTGGATTTTTAAGATTACCCCAGACCCCAGATAGAAAAAAATTACTTTACTTCGTGTGATCCCCACCATGACATTTATACATTTTCTTACTGGCAAATCTTCTGGCATTCTATCTGACATATCTTCTGACATTCTATTTGACATTCTATCTGGCATATCTTCTGGCATATCTTCTGGCATTCTATCTGGCAAATCTTCTGGCATTCTATCTGGCATATCTTCTGGCACTCTATCTGACATATCTTCTGGCATTCTATCTGGCATTCTATCTGGCATATCTTCTGGCATATCTTCTGACATATCTTCTGGCATTCTATCTGGACATATCTTCTGACATATATTCTGCATATCTTCTGGCATATCTTCTGGCATATCTTCTGGCATATCTATCTGGCATATCTTCTGGCATATTTTCTGGCATTCTATCTGGCAAATCTTCTGGCATTCTATCTGGCATTCTATCTGGCATATCTTCTGGCATATTATCTGGGCATTCTGGCATCTTGCATGGCATCTATCTGGCATATCTTCTGGCATATCTTCTGACATTCTTTCTGACATTCTTTCTAACTTTCTTCTGCACATTCTTTGTCCCATATCTTCCTACATGAGGTCCGGCAGGGAACACTGGCGTGGGCGTCCGGCAGGATGGGCGCGGATGGTCGCGGTTGAGGTCCGGCAGGGAACACTGGGCGCGGATGGTCGTGGTTGAGGTCCGGCAGGGAACACTGGGCGCGGATGGTCGTGGTTGAGGTCCGGCAGGGAACACTGGGCGTGGATGGTCGTGGTTGAGGTCCGGCAGGGAACACTGGGCGTGGATGGTCGTGGTTGAGGTCCGGCAGAGAACACTGTGGATCGCGGGTCGCAGTTGAGCAAGGACGACGAGGACGACGAGGAGGACGAGGAGGAGGAGGAGAGGAGGACGAGGCAGGACGAGGCGGAGGAGGAGGAGGAGAAGGAGGAGGAGGAGAAGGAGGAGGAGGAGGACGAGGAGGCAACTGACATAAAATCTAACAACCCTCACCTGGCAGGTGGGGAAAAACTAAACATTCACCACCCTGCACAGGACAGCACCCAGCAAAAACTTCGCCCCGGCACTCTGCACAGCGCCCTGTACACCCTGAAAATAAAAGTCAGTGGAGGATCATTATCCAATTTCAATTTCTATGGAACATAGAACACATTTGAAACCATCAACCAGATCAATGAGAGGTTGTAAGAAGAAAAATATTATGAACAGATCAAATGAATGGGGAATCTAGGGGTCAATGTTTAATGTCATGAACAGGGTCAATCACCATCCATTCAATTGTGAACATAATCTATAAATGGAGGATGCTCCATTGCCAAGTTAGATTACCGAAAAACGTTCGCCACCGAAGACCCCAACGAGAAGTAAGAACCCCGTGTTCGCTTGCCAACTATCTGGGAGAAAAAAAATGTTCAACGTCAATCAAATTGGACTTTAAAGTGACTCTTAGTCTCTCCATACTTTAAATTGGACTAATGGGAAGATTCCAAATTCCACACAACAAGCCCAGGTCGTATCCCCAACAGTAGAAGGTAGGCAAAGCCAATGTGACAGCAACCAGTGAACACCGACCGAATACCGACCGAACACCTATCAAGTTTCAACCTGGCCACGGGCGCAATTTCACAAACCGCCGCACTTGAACATCCAGAAACATAACCAACCCACACAGGAACTTCCGCAACCTTCTGCGACGACCGCCAACCACCCGTTTGTCCACATGGGGGCTCCACGCTTCGAGCACCTTCCGTCCGTTGCAATTGGTTTCCTCCCAGTTTGGTAGTGGAGAATGCGTCTGGCTGTCGGTTTGTGCTCAAACAGCGCTGCCACCAGGGCCCGCTTTGCCGCATCCGCATGTGAAAAATGCATTCTTGACGGCGGGCCCACAATGTACATATACTTTACTTTGCACAGCTATGGCAACAGTTCCTCAAGAACACATCCAAAGCCTCCAGAATCCATCACTAAAGCACCCGGCAAATCTGGCGTGAAAAAGCAAACACCTTGGAATAAAATGTGGTGCCACCCTAAAAATTCCGAAATGTCCCATTCCCCCAAATTCTCACCCCGTCTTCAAATGGCTTCTGAAACTTTGGTGTCGCGGCAGGAAAATGTCTGCATCGCATGATGATCCAAACTCAATTCCATCAGTGCTTGCCACTGAAGCTTTAGTACTTTGCCACACCGACTGGAGCCGGAACCTGCCGCCGCGAAGCAGCTTCGGACCCACAGGTCAAATAGTCCGAAGGGTTCTTGAACTCATAGAAATCTCTTGAAATATCTCCTAAGCTGCATGCTTCTTCACCTCAGCAGGCGCAGTGGTCAACTTGGTCAACCAAGGGGCCCACGACTCCAAGGGCGATCCGCACATGATCCGCACGTTGGCGGAGGGAATCAGGGACCGAGGGAGTGAAGGTAAGAAGGGGTTGGGTTTGCAAAGGGGAAAGGGTGAAGTGGGAAAGGCGAAGGGAAGGAGGAGGCTTGGGTAAAGAGTGGTAGAGGGTGGAAGAGGGTCGGGGAAAGGGCGGGGGAGGAGTGAAGAGGGGCAGTAGTGTCCTACACAGAAGCCCGCATTGTCTTAGTAACGTTGGGGTGGAGCGCGGCGGGGGGGGGGGCAGAACGCACGCCCCGTTGATGCTACGTTGAGATGAGGTGGGGTGATGTGTAATAATTGTACTGCAGTGTTACAAACCTTCTTTACCTTCGGCGGACATCTCAACTCTTCCTGTCAAACAGCAGGCGCAGCGGTTCCGAAACGGACCGCAGTCCAACAGACCAGCAAGTTTCGACGAATTGATGTCCCACAGTTTCGAGCAAGAAAAAGGATGCCACGGCTGGTGCATGTCGACCCATGATTGAAGTACAAAAAAATCACAGGAACCCATAGGAAGCCCATCCCAAACCATGTGCAGTTGACTCAACTGACTCGGAACCAAGGCGGAACCAAGGCTTCCAAGGCTTCCAAGGCTTCCAAGGCTTCCAAGGCGCCACAAGTCAGGGAACCAGGTGGAAACCCTGGGATTGCAGTGGTCGGAATCACCTCGCCCCCTGTGCAACCTGTGCAGCTACCATCAGGGCAAATGCCTGCGTGGCGTGGCCAAGGTGTAATTATGCCAACAGTCAACATGCTTTGGCTGTAAGCTAATGGTCCTTCATTCATTCCTTAGTTTGTCATTACTCCAGGATACGGTTTGTAACCCTGGACCCACAAGATTCCGACCATGACACATTGTTTCGGTGGGTTTTGACGTTTCGCAGCATGCCCATGAGCATAAAGGCACGGGTTGGGGATATATATGGATATATGGGATATGGAAAGACAAAACCCTTAAGATACTGAGCAAAACATACCAAGGTTCCCGGAAAAAAAAAATGAAGATGCTTAATTTCTTCAAGTTTCTTCATCCCAGTTACCCTCTGGTAAATTAACATAGACCCTGAAATTAACCAATTTTTAGTGGAAACTAATCTTCCAAGGGCGGATCACCTGCATTGAGCTGGTTCGGGGGACATGATCTTCCCGCCACCTGCAACGCGGAGACGGGAGACCGGAGGCGTCATCTTCGAGTCCCATCTCTGAAAATATCATGAAATATTATAAAATATCATGAAATATCATGAATGAAATCTCATGAAATCTCATCAAGTACCATGAAATATCATGAAATATCATGGAATATCATGAAATATCATGAAATATCATGAAATATCATGGAATATCATGACATATCATGACATATCATAAAATATCATGACATATCATGAAATATCATGAAAGATCATGGAATCTCATGAAATATCATGAATTCTCATGACATATCATGAAATATCATGACAAATCATCACATATCATGACATAATGATGACATATCATGAAATATCATGACATATCATGACATATCATGACATATCATGGAATATCATGACATATCATGAAATATCATGAAATATCATGAAATATCATGAAATATCATGAAATATCATGAAATATCATGAAATATCATGGAATATCATGAAATCTCTTGAAATATCATGAAATATCATGGAATATCATGAAATATCATGAAATATCATGAAATATCATGAAATCTCATGAAATATCATGAAATATCATGAAATATCATGAAATATCATGAAATATCATGAAATATCATGAAATATCATGAAATCTCATGAAATCTCATGAAATATCATGAAATATCATGAAATATCATGAAATATCATGGAATATCATGGAATATCATGGAATATCCTGAAATATCATGAAATCTCATGAAATATCATGGAATATCATGGAATCTCATGAAATATCATGAAATATCATGGAATATCATGGAATATCCTCACATATCATGAAATATCATGAAATATCACGATATATCATGAAATCTCTTGAAATATCATGAAATATCATGGAATATCATGAAATATCATGGAATATCATGGAATATCATGACATATCATGAAATATCATGACATGTCATGACATATCATGAAATATCATGAAAGATCATGGAATCTCATGAAATCTCATGAATTCTCATGACATATCATGAAATATCATGACATATCATCACATATCATGACATAATGATGACATATCATGAAATATCATGACATATCATGACATATCATGACATATCATGACATATCATGGAATATCATGACATATCATGAAATATCATGAAATATCATGAAATATCATGAAATATCATGAAATATCATGAAATATCATGAAATCTCTTGAAATATCATGAAATATCATGGAATATCATGAAATATCATGAAATATCATGAAATCTCATGAAATCTCATGAAATATCATGAAATATCATGAAATATCATGAAATATCATGAAATATCATGAAATATCATGAAATATCATGAAATCTCATGAAATATCATGAAATATCATGAAATATCATGAAATATCATGGAATATCATGGAATATCATGGAATATCATGAAATATCATGAAATCTCATGAAATATCATGGAATATCATGGAATCTCATGAAATATCATGAAATATCATGGAATATCATGACATATCATGACATATCATGAAATATCATGAAATATCATGAGATATCATGATCATGAAATATCATGAAATATCATGAAATATCATGAAATATCATGAAATCTCATGAAATCTCATGAATTCTCATGGAATATCATGGAATATCATGACATATCATGACATATCATGAAATATCATGAAATCTCATAAAATGTTATGGAATATCATGGAATATCATGGAATATCATGAAATATCATGACATATCATGACATATCATGACATATCATGAAATATCATGAAATACCATGAAATATCATGAAATATCATGAAATATCACGGAGTATCATGGAATATCATGGAATATTTTGACATATCAAGAAATCTCATCAAATCTCATGAAATCTGATGAAATATCATGGAATATCATGAAATATCATGATTTTTTTTGAAATCTCTTGAAATATCATGAAATCTCATGAAATATCATGAAATCTGGTGAAATATCATCAAATCTGATGAAATATCATGGAATATCATGGAATATCATGAGATATCATGAAATCTGATGAAATATCATGACATATCATGACATATCATGAAATATCATGAAATATCATGAAATATCATGAAATATCATGAAACATCATGAAACATCATGAAACATCATGGAATATCATGATGGAATATCATGAAATCTCATGACATATCACAAAATATCATGAAATCATGAAATATCATGAAATATCATAAAATATCATGAAATCTAATGGAATATCATGAAATATCATGGAGTATCATGGAATATCATGGAATATTTTGACATATCAAGAAATTTCATGAAATATCATGAAATATCATGATTTTTTATGAAATATCATGAAATGTCATGGAATATCATGAAATCTCATGAAATATCATGACATATATCATGTAATATCATGCAATATCATGAAATATCATGCCATATCGTGAAATATCATGGAATATCATGGAATATCATGGAATGTCATGAAATATAATGAATACAAAAAGTCTGGTTCCCAGTTGGTTTGCTCACCATCGCCGATCCTGTGCCTCCTTCTCAACCTTGGAAGCCTGCCAATTGATGAATCATTTGATTCCGTCGTTTCCTCTCAAAATTCACGGATCCAAATGTTTTATATATGTGATGTATAGCATTTATTTATATATATGGTACATCATATATAGATACTAGTAAATCCCCACATTCAAAAAAACATCTCAAATTGAGCAAGACCATGGAGATTCGCCACACGGGCCTTGAAGATGTTCTGGAGATTCGCCACCTGATCACTTTCGCATTGCCTGGGGGTCAACGCGACGCGTTCCTACCGAAGCAACGTGCCAACACAACCAGTCCCATTCAATCAAAGTTTTGGGATCTGTCACAGGCACCATCAAGCCAGTGGTAGTCGAACATTTTGATGATTTTGGGTCCAATGCTTCCCAGTTGCGTCGCCCCACAAAATTGTAACAGCGCCTTGCACGGAAGTTGATCAGAATTTGCCAGCATTGGTCGAGAACAAAAACCAACCATACACCATATTTTCTTCAATTGGATATTGTTGACGTGTAAGGTTTGTTCAAACGAGAGCAAACATGCTCTCCTCTTCTTCATTTTCTGTCCTGGGTGTTTTTTGCCCACACCACAGATGATCAAAAAGGACCAAAATATTGGCAAAAATTCAGCGATTGCTGACCATGCAAAAATGTGTTTCCATGCGTTCATATATGAATTTCCGACAATTCCTGACAATGACGGGTGCCATTTGTCATTTAACAACAAAAAATGGAAAAACAACCCGTAACTGGGTTTCAATGGAATATTCCTAGGCGACCCATCCCAGGAAACCTTGAAAACAAACAGCAAACATGCACGCGCCATCACAGGACACTCCTGTGGACATACGTTTTGAACGACATATTTTGAGCTAAATGGCCACGAGTTCTTTTCGATCATGATGCACCAAGGGTTGAAATATCGATCGCATTGTAACGAAACCAACACATTTTGGCCCAGCAATCTGCAAACATTTTTGTGTAGAATGCCAAGAAATTCGTACCCATAACTGCCAATAAGCATGACTAATGAATAATTTTAAGACCAAAGTTTTAACACCCGCTATGCAAAAAACCATCCACAAAACCATGCCGATCCCACAAATTCAAATGTGTCGTGCGGCGTAGACCCCATTGACAAGAATTTCCAGTTGCCGCGTCATGTTCGCAACGTTCCAGCAAGTCCTCCTCTGCGCCACTTGTTAAAAACCACGTCTGGAACGTTGAATTCTGTGCTGAGGTTCCCCCGGCCAAAACCTGTTTTGGAGCAAGAGTCCCTTGTGCCATATTCAAACCAAAACGAGCTCTCTCAACAAATCTGCAATTTTCGTCTGGTCTCACGCGTTGGCCACATGTAATGCAAGCAGTTGCAAGAACCCCTTTTTTTCAAGTGGGACCAGGCTGTCTGCACAAGGCTGACGGTTTGGCCTGTGAAATTTCAAAAGCGAGTGGTTGTGGGCGGGCGCTTTTGGATCAAATTTCACAACGCTCCCACCGCACCCTCCCTTGAGTCAAAGTCTCGGATGAAAAGACATGTGACCCGAAATCAATGAATTTCTAAACACAATCGTCAAGACAACTTGATGATCAAGATCAGCTGCATCGTCTGGTCTCACGCGTTGGCCACATGTAATGCAAGCAGTTGCAAGAGTTTTTCCCGAATGCGTAGCAAGGGTTCCCGTTTCACTCTGGGGGTCTGGGGGTTGAGGGTGTGTTCGCTCGACGTTGCGTTCGCGAGCGCAGCCGTCCGCAACCGTCCGCAACCGTCCGCAACCGTTCGCGTGAGGACCGTATGGCCGTGCCTATGGGAAGTTTTGCAGAGGTGGTCCTTTTTGGAGGTTTCAGACGTCTGGTTGCTTCGTTTCGCGTGGCAGGCGTGGCACTTCGTGACATTCAGACGTGTTCTGCAACGTGTCGAAAGTCGTTTCGCGTGGCAGGCGCAGTACTTTTGCGACGTTTTCAGAAGATGTGTTGCAGTTTTCGTGGCAGGCGCAGCACTTTGGGCGTGTCCATCGTCATTTTTCGTGGCAGGCGCAGCACTTTAGACGTGTCGCGTTGCGTGTTTTTTGTAAATCGCATTGGCAGGGCTGCGTCAAGTGGTGACAAGGTGCAAATTCCGTGGCAGGCGTGGCATTTTCTCACATGTGTTGAAAATTGACGGAAGCCTCGCACGAAACATCGATTTTGAGGTTACAAATTTTCAGGTTCTAAGGGAAACTCGTAGGAAAACGTCGATTTTGGAGCTGCAAAGTATGAAAATTGGAGGAAGTCTCGCACGAAATGCTCGTTTTGGTGCTCCTACCTGTCTCGTCTCGAGTCTCTGGTTTTCCTGTGGCCTCGCCGTGTCTATGGGGGAAGCTGCAAAACTTGTCCTTTTGTCATGTTGCCAACTGTGAAAATTGCCGGAAGTCTCGTGCGAAATGCTCGTTTTGGTGCTCCCACGCGTCTCGTCTCGAGTCTCTAGTTTTCCTGTGGCGTCGCAATGTCTATAGGGGAAGCTGGAAAACCTCTCCTATTCGAATGTGTCCAAGCAGGTTGTCATGTCCTTTTGCGTGGCAGGCGTGGCACTTTGTGACATTCCAAGCTGTTTGATAACGTGTCGAAAATGTCAAAATTGGAGGAAGTCTCGTACGAAATGCTCGTTTTTCTGCATCCATGTGTTTTGTCTCGAGTCTCTGGTTTTCCTGTGGCGTCGCCGTGTCTATGGGGGAAGCTGCAAAACCTCTCCTTTTCGAAGGTTTCCAAGCAGGTTGTCATGCCGTTTTGCGTGGCAGGCGTGGCACTTTGTGACATTCCAACCTGTTTGATAACGTGTCGAAAATGTCAAAATTGGAGGAAGTCTCGCACAAAATGCTCGTTTTTCTGCACCCACGTGTCTCGTCTCGAGTCTCTGGTTTTCCTGTGGCGTCGCCGTGTCTATGGGGGAAGCTTCGCACTCCACACTCTACACTCCACACTCCACACTCCACAATTCCACAATTTACACTTTAGACTCCACACTCCACACTCTACACTTTACACTCCTCACTTTACACTTTGCACTTTACACTCCTCACTCCTCTCTTGAGACTTTACACTCCACACTCCACACTTTACACTCCACATTCCTCACTCTACACTTTACACTCCACACTCTACACTTTACTCTCTACACTCCACACTCTACACTTTACACTCTGACACTACTCACACTACACTCACTCCACACTCTATACTCCACACTCCTCACTTTACACTCCACACTCCACACTCCACACTCTACACTTTCCACTCCACACTCCACACTTTACACTCCACACTCCACACTTTACACTCTACACTCATCACTCCACACTCCACACTTTACAATCCACAGTCCTCACTTTACACTCCACACTTCACACTACACTCCACACTCCACACTCCACACTCCCCACTCCACACTTTAGACTCCAAACTCCACACTTTGCACTCCTCACTCCACACTCTACACTCATCACTCCACACTCCACACTACACTCCACACTCCTCACTTTACACTCCACACTCCACACTTTACACTTTACACTCCTCACTCCACACTCTACACTCCACCTTCCTCACTTTACACTCCACACTTTCCACTCCACACTCCGCACTCCACACTCCACGCTTTACACTCCACACTTTACACTCCACACTCTACACTTTACACACTCCACACTCCTCACTTTACACTCCACACTCCACACTTCACATTCTACACTTTCCCCGCACTCCACACTCTACACTTTACACTCCTCACTCCACACTTAACAGTCCTCACTCCACACTCCACACTCTACACTTTACACTCCACACTTCACACTCTACACTTTCCACTCCACACTCCACACTCCCCACTCCACACTTTAGACTCCAAACTCCACACTGTAAACTTTACACTCCACACTCCACACTTTACGCTTTACACTCCTCACTCCACACTCGACACTCTACACTTTACACTCCACACTCCACACTCTACACTTTACACTCTACACTTTACACTCTACACTCCACACTCTACAATTTACAAACTCCACACTCCTCACTCCACACTCCACACTCCTCACTTTACACTTCACACTCCACACTTTGCACTTTACACTCCTCACTCCACACTCTACACTCGACACTCCACACGCTACACTCCACACTCCACACTTTACACTCCACACTCTACACTTTCCACTCCACACTGCAGACTGGTAACAGGGGAAATATGAACAAGACTGTTCAAATAAACTATTGCAGAAAAGTGTTGTGCGTCACTGCATATCCATGTGTTTTGACATCTGTGCCATTAACATACGTGTGAGCATTCGGGTTCGTGGGCTTCATCTTGTTTTTCAAGTGGGACCAGGCTGTCTGCACTCCCTGCTTTGTTCAGCCGGTTCCAGTTTCAACGAATTGACAAGGTTGTCAAACCATATTGACGCTGCAGCTGATTCATCCATCTTCTGTTCCAACAAGGGGTGAGGCGTATTCCTCGAAGGATAATCTGCTATATTTGCTTCCGTTGGTGCCTTGGCAAACCAGGTACAAAGGTTATTCTAAGCCTCACGCAACAAGTGGTACTTCATGGGCCAAGCAGCAGAGCGACTGAGGCACGACCCACGGATTAAGGAAAACCTCGCACCATCATTGTCACCAAAGCAAACTTGCAAACCGGAGTTCATGGAAGATGCCCAGGAGTCAAGGGCCAAGACGCTCGCAAGAAGTTCGAGTTCATAAATTATGGTCTGCTTCTCCTCCGCACCAAAAAGTACATATTGTTCCATATTCAGCCGGACGCCAAACCAGCCTGAGCAAGCACCCTTTTCGTTGAAGAGTGCAGCGCCCAGCCCTCCAGATTTTGTTGCCGATTCGTAAGCAGCATCAGTATACTGTAAACAAACCATTGAGACAAAGGTTTGCTGATATCACTTTGGGTTTTCCTGACCAAGCGGCGCATCATATAAAACGCTAAAGATCAACTCGCGCTGCAGCTTGGGCGAGCGACCATAGGCATGCTCTGAAAGTTGTTTGAGAACCAGTGAACCCAAACGCCCATGTAAAAATGACTCAGCAAAACCCAATCTTCCGCATAACATCAATGCTTCATTCTTCCCAAGAGTGCCAGCCTGCAAAGTAGAAACCACCAGAGCCTTCAAGTCTTGCACACGCTGCTCTGTATTCTTTATAGCCAGTATACGTTCACCAGAGCGGGAGAGGTCAAATTCCACTCCCAGTGCTTTGCAAGGTTTGTCAAACATCGTGCGCTTTTTACCATCAGTTCCAAATTGCCAACCAGTCAGCATGAAAATTAACTCCATGGCATTCTTCGAAGATTCAACACTTCCCGGCAGGGAAGCCAGTATGTAGTCATCATAGAAGTTGGTGGTGAGCAAGTGCAGGTCACGTGTTGCTATGGTGTAAAGCAGTCGGGCAAGGCGAAGAAAACTATAGACACTGGGGGTTGCTCAAAAAGGGAGCGTAAGCAGCTGGTACCTCAGGTCTCCATACAAAAGTTTGAAAACCTGAGGTGCTCCTCTTTGATGGAGCCTTGCCTGTATGCGCCACTATCTCGCTTCCCTTGTCTTGCTCATCACATCTTCTGAAGAATTCACGCAAAACAGCAGCAAACGTGTCCACCATGTGCAAGTCAACCTATCACCTCTTCCACCGTTATTGACGATGTTGAATTGGCAAGCCGGTCACTTTCGCCGTCTGTTGGCGGCTGTTGGTGTGTTTGGTTGTGTTTTGTTTTTTTTGTTGCTTTGTGTTTTGCTTCTGTTTGGTTTCCCCCCTTCTTCTTGTGTGGTGTTTGTTTTGTGACGGCTTCTTGGACTATGTAGCGGTCCACGCCAAC